AAACAATTTATGGCCATCTAGGGGCCTCTTCGGGCTCCTCCAGACGCCCGCCGGGGCTCTCTGTGCGCACTGGAACCCCATGCTGCGACCCTGTAGGGTTCCGTCTGAGGATCTCTTTAGAAGCTCATCGGCTCTTCCGCAGCCCTCTTGGGGACATAATTCGACTGAGAGGGTGGGAACCCCAGAAGCGACAGAACGATCGAGCAGCACGCAGGAGCAAAAAAGGACACTGGCCGCATGCTTCTGGCTCATCTTGATCACCTGGGGTTCCTCGTGGGGCCAACTTGTGGCCGTCTCGAACTCTCCACGGCCGCTTTGGCAGTCGCTATGAGCAGTCGGCGGTGGACAAACCTCCCTTTGATGAAAACAGCCTGGGACCAACACCGACGGACCTGGACCCGCAAAAATGACGGCCGCGACGCCCTCTCGCGAACCGAAAACGGCCAATTCCTTAATCAGCGTGTCAGGGTAGGAGGTCTGCCCACCCCCGAGGCGGTCTGGGGAGCGCGCGGAGCCTTCCGGCACGCCCCGCGGCCCGCGGCACGGCGCCTCCGGGCCCGCCCGCAGAGCCCGGAGGCCCCCCGCGTGAGGCCCTGGGAGCTCACTCGCCCACTCGGCTCTCGCGCGCGCCGGCCCGGAGGCCGTCCCGAAGCGGGGCGCGCGGCGGAGCCGCAGCTCCACGCGTCATCTCGCAGCACACTACTGATGGGCCTCTTTTCCACCACCGCCACCATAAGTTGGAGGGGGAGGGGGTCCTTCTCCTCCTCCTCCTCCTCCTCCTCCTCCTCATCCTCCTCCTCCTCCTCCTCCTCCTCCTCCTCCTCCTCCCCTTCTTCGTCCTCCTCCTCCTCCTCGTCCTCCTCCTTCCCCCCTCCAACTTATGGTGGTTGTGGTGGTGGAGAACACGCCCATCAACTACCGCATTGTAAACGATGCTGTAATACCAACTCATCTCGACCTGGGTCGCTCTGCCCGCCGAGAACCTTCCAATGAGCCCCTAGTACTGCACGGCGTGCCGCGGAATCACGATCCTCTTGCCGTTGTCCGAACCACTTTGATGCTGTTTTTTTTTGTGACTTTCAACCCCATCCCGAACTTGTAGGTCATTTCTTTAACTCGCGAGCGGTTCTCGGCAGCCAGTCCACCCAAGGCTCTAGTTCGTGATCTTCGCCAGATAAAGAACTGGAGTCCGACATCATTGACGATGTGCTTCGCAAAATTGCCTCATCAATTAATTGTCGACGACGGCTACCAAGAACCATGCGGAGCATTTTCCGGTGAACTCTGCGCACTCTATCTGTCAGCTCTTGGGTCAATACCCAAGTGGCACTTTCATATGAAACACATTGGACACAGTAGCGTCGACACGCCGCAGGCGTGCATTGAGTGAATACCATTAGTTGGTCAACTCTCATACCTGTGCCACGAAACTCTTCCACGCCATGACGCCATGTTGATCCGGAGTGCAAACAGAGCAGCTGGAGACCGAGGAACCGCATTGGAGCGGCATTCCTGAATGCGTCGCCAAGCAACGTCGGGTCACGCGCGCCGCCCCCCCCCTTCCGTCCATTCGCGCTCACGCCGACGAGGTACGAGCCGCGCAAGGCATGGCGACGACAAACGCGCCAGGGAACACACAACGAAGGACAGAAGGGGGAGGAGGAGAGGGAGAGAGGAGGATGAAAACGGGAATGCAGACTGGTGGGAGTAACAACGCCATATGATCCTGGCGAGCTTGGCCAAGGATCCTGAGAGGTACCCTGCTGCCATCCCGACCGACTGGTGGAAGAAAGGATGGGTGTCTCCAAGACTTTTGTTCGAGAGATCTCATGGACGTCTACTGCGTGCGCTGGATGGAGACCACAGTGGTTTGTTCACAGTGGCAACCAGAGGGACGGTTTGGAATATCAATTCCAATGCCAATGGCGTTCCTTTGATTTGGCTGGGTTTAGGTCAGCTGGGAATCCTCTTGGGGCTTTGCTGTGGCCGTCTTGCTGCCGTTTTGGGGTCATTTGGGAGCCTCTGGGGCCCCCCTCGGCCATCTTGGCAATCACTTGGGCGGTCCAGGGAGCTTTATGAGCGTTCTGACGACTCACTCCTCAGCCGGCCCAGGCGGCCCCAGTGCCCCGGCACCACCAGGGAGGAACAATGTCTACGCCCTGGAGGCCTCTCTCTTGTACCTCCGAGTGTGTGTGTGTGTGTGTGTGTTTACATCTGTCCACACAGAACTGTGGATTTATACATATCGATATATTTATGTGCACACATACGTAGGTACATTAGAACCACGCCCGCGCTTCGCGCGCGCTTAGGTTCTAGGGCACTCCAAGCCAATCTCAGAGGATCGGATGAGAATGACATCATCCCACAAGGATCACCATACGGGAGCGTACTTATATATATATATATATATATATATATATATATAGATGCTTCAGGAGTCGCTGAAAAAACAGGCCCTAAGAGATCCTGCTGCTCTGACGGTTCCTGGGAGCTCGCTGGGGCCTGCTCGGGACGTCTTTGGGGCCTCGGTGGGGCCCCTTCGGGCGTCATGGGAGCCTCTTGTGGCCTCTTGGGGCCACTTCGCACCGCTCGGGACGCAACTTGGGGGCCTCCTGGAGCTCTCTTGGGGGTCATGCTCAAGCCTCCGAAGCGTGTCGGAGGTGGACGTGCGAGAAAACAGCTAATCATTGATTCCCCATGCGTTTTTCGACGATTTTGTCCTCTCGGAAGACTCCCCAGAGCTCTCGGGGGACTTTTGGAGGCCTGTGGGGGCGATCTTGAATGCTCTTGGAAGCTTCCACAGCCGACGAGGGGCCCGCTTGGACAACCTTGGGGCGTTTTTGGGTTTTCTCGGAGCCGCCCTGGGCCGTCACGAGGCCCTCCTGCGGCCTCCCTGGGAGACCCAGGAAGGCGGTACTGGGGATCCGACAAAGATGTTATCGAAGTGGGCGGCGCCGTGAGGGGGGGGGGGGGCTGGGGTGTATACGTATAGGTATATGTATACACAAATACAGGTGTATGTGTATATATATATATATATGTATATGTAAGTGTGCATATATGTGTATATATGTGTGTATAAGTGTGTATATATGTATGTCTGTGTGTATATATAGAGAGGTATGTTTATGTATATACATATATACATAATTATGTATACATATACATGTGTAGATCCGCCACCGTGCTCTTCGGCACGGAGTGGGCGTGTCCTCAAGTCCTTTGCCTCATCCTCTAAGCCTCAATCCTCGCTCTTGAGGGTGCTAAGGGGGCCCAGACCCCAACTTGCCAAATCTTCTTGGGCTTGCCGCGGCTTGTTAGAGGCTTCCCGCATCTTGTCGCGTGACTTTTCCCGGCCCACGAGGGCTCCCAAACCGAAGATCGCCCCAAGACGCCCAAGATGGTCCCAAGACGGCCCAAGAGGCCTCCCAGACGCCTCCCAAGAGGGCCCCAAGAGGCCCAAATCATTGATTTTCTTTCTGTCGTTGAAAAATTTGCGCTCAAGACGATCCAGGAGGACCCCCAAGATCGACCCAAGACGGCCCCAGAGGCGCCCAAAAAGGCACCAAGACAGCCCAAGAGGGCCCCAAGACAGCCCAAGAGGCGCCCAAGACGGCCCAAGAGGCCCCAAAGAAGGCTTCAAGAGGGTGCCCAGATGTGAGACCCGAACGGACATTTCGAGCCCTCGGCCCTGAGGGGCACCCAGGAGGTCCCAAGAGGTGGAGAACGGTGGAGAACCCTATGGGGCCTGCCACTAGAGCGGTGGAGCGGTGGAGAACCCTATGGGGCCACGAAACGCTGTCGTGGGTGGCGCTGACGCAGGCGGACCCTGCCACTGGAGCCTTCGGTGGAGCTCCCTATGGGGCCACGAGACGCTGTCCTGGGTGGCGTTAACGCACGCGGACCCTGCCACCGGAGCCCTTGGTGGAGCTCCCTACGGGGCCGCGAAACGCTGTGCTGGGTGGCGTTGGCGCATGCGGACCCTGCCACTGGAGCCTTCGGTGGAGCTCCCTGTGGGGCCACGAAGCGCTGTGCCGAGTGGGTGAAACGCAGGGAGGTGACGAGGCGGATGACGAGGCGGATGGGAGGAGGGGAGGAGGAGGAGGAGGAGGAGGAGGAGGAGGAGGAGGAGGAGGAGGAGGAGGAGGAGGAGGAGGAGGAGGAGGAGGAGGAGGAGGAGGAGGAGGAGGAGGAGGAGGAGGAGGAGGAGGAGGAGGAGGAGGAGGAGGAGGAGGAGGAGGAGGAGGGGAGGGGGAGGGGAGGAGGAGGGGGTGGAGGAGGAGGAGGAGGAGGAGGAGGAGGAGGAGGAGGAGGAGGAGGAGGAGGAGGGGAGGAGGAGGAGGAGGAGGGGAGGAGGAGGAGGAGGAGGAGGAGGAGGAGGAGGAGGAGGAGGAGGAGGAGGAGGGGGAGGGGGAGGGGGAGGAGGAGGAGGAGGAGGAGGGGAGGAGTGAGGAGGAGGAGGAGGAGGAGGAGGAGGAGGAGGAGGAGGAGGAGGAGGAGGAGGAGGAGGAGGAGGAGGAGGAGAGCAGAGGAGCGGAGAGGAGAGGAGAGGAGGGGCGCGGGGCGCCGTCTCTGCAAAACGAGGACCCAACGCCACAGGACGGCTGGGAACAGCAAGCAGCTGCGCATCGTCAACTCTCGGAGCTCCGTGCGGATTTCTTGGGTCGGTGCTGGGCCCTGCGCCCCCCCCCCCCCAGCGCGCGGAGCGCGCCAGGGGCGGCGCCGGAGGCGCAGCCGGAGGAGCTCCGCGCCGTCCCGAGGAATCCGCGCGGACGTTTCTCAACCAGCCTGCCGGAAAGCTGGCCCAGTTTCTCGAGCACGTTCGCCCTTCCTCCAGCGTCGGCAGCGGGAACTGGCCCAGGTCTCTTTCGAGAAACCTCTGGGAAGCTGGTCCAGACTTCTTAAACGATGATTTTCTTCATCACATGATCCAGGCCTCGGGAGAAATCAGCGAACACTCATGCTGCATTCATATGTCAATCCCCCCCCATTGATCAATGTTGGCGGTGGGTGGAACGAGCTGCACTTCGACCGCAGTCTTCCCCGCGCGTGCCAACTTTGAGTTTTGGGGGAGCGGCGGAGTGTCCACTACACGCCGGTCGTTGAAAGTAGGTATTTTTGGAACCCCGGATCCCAATCTACTTCCAGCGCCTTCCTACCTCAAGAACCGACACGCTTTCGCCGTGTTTTGCTACTTCCCGGGGGGGCCTGGGCCCAATCAACCTGATCCACCTTCCTACTTCATGTCTTCACCTCGCTTCCTCCGACCGACGTGCAAATCTTCCCCTCTGCCGTCGGTCGGAGAAGCCTTCGGTGGAGGCGGTGCCCCTCGAGGGCGGCGCTGCGCAGGGCGAGGCCCGCCCGCTCCCGCGGGGCCCCGGCCTCGGCGGATCTGCCCGGGGGACGGCGCGGCCCTCGGCGCCGCGAACCTCACCACGGGCGCGGACTTCCCGGCCGTGGACGCGGACGAGGAGCTCCTGCAGCTGGGGAGGGTGAGGGAGTGCCCCCTATCAGGGCTCGCAAAAAAAAACCCGAAGGATTGCAAAAAAAGGGTTTTTTTGCAATCCTTCGGTTTTTTTTTGCAATCCTTCGTTTTTTTGCAATCCTTCGTTCAAATGAGGTTTTTTTTGCAATCCTTCGAGGGAGTGCCCCCTATCAGGGCTCCGCCCGGCTCCAGTGACGAACCAACAGCACACAGCCATACCCATAGAGGGGTTGGGGAGGGCTATGGGTGCGTGTTGTCGGATGGGGGTCCCCGCTCGAACGGGAGCGTTCCCCAGGGTCCGACAACCCGCACCCATACCCATAGCCATTCCTCCTCCCAACGACCCCCCTATGGGTATGGGTGTGTGTTGCTCGTTCGTCATCCAGGGGAACAAAAAATGGCATAAACACAAAAACTCGGAGGTCCGCGCGGATTTCTCAGATCGGCGCTGGACCGCCCTGGCGGCGCCTCCGGCGCCGTCCCTGGCGCGCTCCGCGCGCCAGGGAGGGGGGTCCAGCGCCGATCCGAGAAATCCGCGCGGACCTCCGAGTTGTTATGTTTATGCCACTTTTTGTTCCCCTAGACTCGGGCCAGGCGAAAGGGGGGGATTGGGAAAGGGGGGGTTACGAAATTTGCTGCGTGCAGCTGATTTCGGCCTCACCGAGGGGCCCATTCCTCGATACATGGGCGCCTCCGGCGCCGGGAGGCGCCGGGAAAATCTGCTACGTGAGTTGATTCTCAAACCCCCCTTTTGCTATCCCCCCCTTTCGCCCGGCTCGATTCGATTCGGGCTCGCCCGATGCCGATGCCAAGTCGATTCGACTTCAGATTCTGGTGGGGGGCTTCGGTTTCTCCCGGCTTGGCTGCCGATGTCCGCCGATCCGATGACTTTCGATCGCCGATCCGACTTATCGATTCGAGTCTGGGCTCTCCTGGCTCCTCGATGTCCCAGATCTCCAAAGATATGATTTTGCGCAACTGGCTGTTGTTCCTCGTTTCTGGCCCTCGGCGGCCGTTTTCGGGCGTCCTGACAACCAAAAACAGATCTGGGACGAAAAACTGGCCCCGGGGACGGGGTCAGGATCTCTGGGGCCGCGAGAAAAACATCTCGTCGGATGTCTGGGATCAGAGGGAGTGAGTGCCCCCTTGAGTGCATGCGTTCCTCTCGCCGTCCTCCTCTTCGTCCTCCCGTCGCTGGCGTTGAGTCCGAAGTTATTGCACGAACTCTGTCTGCTTGTTGAGACGTCCAGCCACGGCAGGCACACCCGCTGGAGGCCGAAGGCTGGAGTCTGGACCGTCGAGCCCGAAAGCCCGGGAGTGCCCCCCCATGTTCGATAGGTCAGAGGAGCCAGACGTAATGGTTTCCAGGTTTTCTTCCTGTCCCACAGAAAGTCAGGGGGGGAGGGGGGGAGCATTGATGATCCCCGATCGCCCACTCATCGCCGATAGTGGCCCGATAGCCCAGCCCACCCAGGAACGTGCTGTTTCGCGGTCGCCGATATATCGGCGATGTATCGCCGATTCCAGCACTGTGTTTCCCCCTTTGAGCCGGTCCCCCCCGTATTGTTGCCCCTCACTGGAGGTCTCTCTGATGCTTCTTGGGAACTCTCCATCTCCTCTTGCCTCTGCTCCTCCTGTTCCTCTTCGCTCTTCGCCCCTTCCCCCGAGAGCCAGAGAGCGAGCCGAGGTATTTAGACAACCACACTTTTGAGGCGAACCAGCACCTGTACGAGGAGGCCTTCGAGGCACTGCAGAGGCTGAGCGAGCTGAAGGAGGGGATGACACACTCGGGGCTTGGGATCAGGACCAGATTCTGTGGCAGCGGCAGTTGGGCTGGCGCGACAGGACTTTTCCTCCTCAGTGCTTGGACAATAAGTGTCCACAACCATGGCATGAATTTAGATTTCACAACCGGATTTCTGTATATGCCTCGTACCCCCCCTCTCCCCCGAACGGGTTGGGGTGTGTGTGTGTGTGTGTCAGATGTTGACTTGATGTACATCGATATCGCGGTGCCTTGGAGAGAAGGGCGTCTACGCTTTCAATCCAGCGACCGCCTCTCCCCGTCCCCTATCATCCCCACATGCCCTCCCGCTCTTCGCGCCCTGCCGTCGAGCCAGCTGCACGGCCAGGCAGCAGGGCGCCGTCCGCCTCCGCAGCGTGCCTGCTGCTTAGGGCGGCGGTGATCTATCGATTCGGCTCGGCCTCCGAGGCGAAGACGGGAAGCAGAACAGAGTTCGAAGCACAACAGGGCACGAGAGCCTTCGGCGGCGGTGTTCTGATCAAGAGGATTACATGGGCCTCTTCCTCGCACCTCGACGGGCCAACCGGATAGCGCTGCGTCACCGAAGCAATCACGGGGGGCGTGGGTTCAGGGGAGATGGGGCGGGAAGATGAAGTGTTGCCCTGCACGGGGCGTGAACGGGAGGCGCGGACGCAACACACACACACACACACACACACACACGCGCGCGCCGTGATCTGTTATGGGTTGTTGTCTTCGTATCCTGTTTCGGCCTGTCCTCTTCTTGTATGTGCCACTCGGGTATGCGTTGTTCGAGGCTGTTCTTCTTAGTTTTTGGGCCATCTATGTTCTGGCGGTGCCCGAGTGCTTCTCGAACACGACGTTGCCAAGAGTCAGTCTGCGCATCCCTGTCTACCTTACCACTCTGGATGGAGTCCCGACAGCTTCTCCTGTATAACATTCGTTTCTGCTCAGTCAGGTGAACCTGGTGAATCTGGTGTTGAGACCGATGGGCCATGCCCCATAGGAACGCCAACGACTGTACAACGATATGTAGAGCTTTTGTTGCTGCAGAGGGAACCAGATTATCAACCATATGGGGGCGGGTCCCAAGAGCGATCGTGAAGGGTCCGAAATCTTGGCAGCGCACACAAGGGGGTGACACGAAGGGCCGGCCGTTCAAGAAGGCGGGGAGGCTGCTAAGGAGGCCCTCCCGGCTCCTCAGAAGCCGTCTCGGAAGCCTCCGGGGCCTTCGAAGAAGGCCCTTCCCGGATAAGCAGCTCCTCCGCCTTCTCCTCCGCCGTCTCAGAGGGCCCCCCCCCCCACGCTCCACCCCCCTGCACGCGCCATCAAAGGTCAGTGCCCAGAAGGTCCCCGAGGCATCTTTCACGAGGGAAAAAAACACACAGACACAATTAATCCTCGATTCCCAGGAAAATATGGGAAAATATGGGAATTGGGGGGGAAGACAAAAACCCAGAAAATATGGGAAAATATGGGGACTATTTTTATTTGTGTGTATTTATTTGTGTGTCCTAATTTCCCTTTAATCTTGGAGGGATCCTGGAGGGGTGCGTCCTGGCCACGCCCGCCTCCACAAGAGCCTCTGGGGCGCCCAGCGTCGCCCGCGCGCGCTCCGTCGGCCGTCTTGAGGGCCGTCCCTGGAGGGTCGTGAGGCGCCCGGGCACTGGTTGGGGCCCTCGGATGGCTCGTCGCGGGGGCAAGCGGCAGTCCTGTGTCCGAGAGATTTTGGGGGGCGGTCAAGGGGGGGAGGGGGGAGCAGGAGAAGGAGCAGGAGCAGGAGCAGGAGGAGGGGGGGAGGGGGGAGCAGGAGAAGGAGCAGGAGCAGGAGCAGGAGGAGGGGGAGGAGGAGGAGGAGGAGGAGGAGGAGGAGGAGGAGGAGGAGGAGGAGGAGGAGGAGGAGGAGGAGGAGGAGGAGGAGGAGGAGGAAGGGGGAGGGCGGGGGGCTGGGAGGCACCGGGGGCTTCGGAACACCCTGGAGGCCAGTGATCCGAAGAGGGGGGTCCTAAGTCAGAGTCGCCCAGTTTGAGGCCAATCAATGTGGACGTGAGTCCTCTTGAGACGGTCTTGCGGCGGGCTTGGTTGGTTTTCGGGGCTGTCTTTGAGCGCTTCTGGGCTCCTCTTGGGGCCCTCCTGGGCGATACTGGAGCCATCTTGAGGCCTCAAAGACCATCGGCGGAATAAGGGCAAAGGGAGGCAAACATCATTTACAACCAATTGGCTTGGAAGTATCCCTGGCAGGCTCTGTGGCCACTTGGAGCCGTCTTGGGGCCCCTTGGCCATCTCCATCTACGAGCGCTCCTGGAGCCGTCTTAGACAGCGTGTTGGGCATCCTGGTGGCGTCCGGGAGTGGAGGCACGGACGGCCCAGGAGGTGCGCCGCCGGGGAGCTCCTTGGTACCCCCCCCCCCCTCAAACAGCACTTTCGACCCAGGGGAGGGGGAAAAGGGGGGAGGAGACAGCCAATCATCTCACACTTCCTTGCACTCCCTGCAAGCGAGGTGGGTCGGTGGATACACATGAGTTGTATTAGACATAGACGGATGCGTGTATATGTAAACGCTTATATGCGCACATAGATACATTCATCCCGCACCGTGCTACTATGGTCGTTTTTTGCGGGGCGAAGGGCGGAGAGGCGCAAGATATCTTCGCGTTCCGTGAGACGTGGACGGACCTCGACACTGAGCTGTTGCGGGGGCTCGACGAAGGACCGCCTCCTCCTTCTGTTCCTTCTCTTCTTCCCACGAGTCTCGAGATTAATCTTTGACTTGTCGCAGACGCAGGGTGCGAGTATGCACCGGCGTTTTTTGTATATACTCTGAACTGATTGCCGCAACCGTAGCAACTTATCCCTCCTACTCGCTCGTTTTTTTTCGTGCGGACGAAGGGGCGGGATTGGGAATTTTCTGCTGATTTGCGGGCCGGACGAAGATCGGGAGCGGCCAAGAGGGGGTGATGACCAGTGGGGGGTGGATGTCATGGCGGGGGCCATGATACTCTCCCGAGATTTCACGCGCGAAGCCGAAAAATTAACGGGGAATGGGCGTCCGAGCGATGGCGAGACTCGGATTGGAGCTGGCTGGGGGTCTGAGGTGGCCCATGGCCGCCTGGCTCCCGCCAGCAGGAGGGGGGGTGAGGTTCGAGGTTCTCGGGGCCGTCCAAGAGGGGGGTGATGACCAGGGGGGGGGGGGATCTCATGGCGGTGGCCGTGGTAACCTCCCCAGATCTCATGGCGCCTCTTCCTGTCTCAGTACGTCCCCTGGCCCCCCGCCGCGCACACGCCTCGGACCATGCTTTGCGAACACCCCCTCTTGGACGCCCCCTTCTTAGACGCCCCCCAGAAGAGAGGGGATTGGCCCCCTCCTTGGACGCCCCATTTTTGGACGCCCCTGAAAGGGGGGGGGGGGGGGGGGGGCGAAATCTCCGCGCGCAGCTGGTTTCGGCCCGGCCGCCAGGCGCTTCCCGCGATCTATGTTGGCGTCTCCGAGCGAGGTGGCCCCCCATCTTTTCCAGAGATCCGAGGAGAATCCGAGGAATTTGTTTTTCCAACCATCCTGTGGTGTTGGGTCCTCGTTTTGAAGAGACGGTCCCCGCGTTTCTCCTCCCTCCTTCCTCCCTCCCCCTCCTCCCCCTCCTCCTCCCTGCGTTTCACCCACCCAGTACAGCGCTTCGTGGCCCATAGGGAACTCCACCGACGGCGTCATTGCCACCGTCCGCGTGCGTCCCGGAAACATCCAATTTGGCATTTTCACCCACACGTTGCAGCGTTTCGTGGTCCCATGGGAGCTCCACCGAAGCCCCCAGTGCCACCGTCCGTATGCGTCCCGGAACTTTTATTTTCACCCACCCAGAACACCGCTTCGTGGCCCCATGGGGAGCTCCACCGAAGGCCCCAGTGCCACCGTCCGCACGCGCCCCGGAAACCCAATTTGACATTTTCACGCCCTCATGCAACGCTTCGTGGCCCCATAGGGAGCTCCACCGAAGCCCCCAGTGCCACCGTCCGCATGCGCCCCTGGAGCCCAGTTGGGCATTTTCACCCACCCAGTACAACGTTTCGTGGCCCCACAGGGAGCTCTACCGAAGCCCCCAGTAAGACCGTCCGCACGCGCCCCGGAAACCCAATTTGACATTTTCACGCCCTCATGCAACGCTTCGTGGCCCCATAGGGAGCTCCACCGAAGCCCCCAGTGCCACCGTCCGCATGCGCCCCTGGAGCCCAGTTGGGCATTTTCACCCACCCAGTACAACGTTTCGTGGCCCCACAGGGAGCTCTACCGAAGCCCCCAGTAAGACCGTCCGCATGCGCCCCAGAAATCCAATTGGGCATTTTCACCCACCCAGTACAGCGCTTCGTGGCCCCATGGGAGCTCCACCGAAGGCGCCAGTGGGACCGTCCGCATGCGGCCCAGAAATCCCAGTCGGCATTTTCACCCACCCAGTACAGCGTTTTGTGGCCCCATAGGGAGCTCCACCGAAACCCTCAGTGGGACCGTCCGCATGCGCCCCGGAAATCTAATTCGGCATGTTCAACCACCCAATACAGCGCTTCGAGGCCCCATAGGAAGCTCCGAAGGCGCCAGCGCCACCGTCCGCATGCGTCCCGAAAACCCAGTTTCGCATTTTCAAATACCCAGTACATTGTTTCGTGGCCCCATAGGGAGCTCCGCCAGAGCCCTTAGTGTCACCGTCCGCATGCGTCCAGGTAGCCCAATTTGGCATTTTCACCACCCAATGCAGCGCTTCGTGGCCCCATAGGGAGCTCCACCGAAGCCCCCAGTGCCACCGTCCGCATGCGCCCCGGAAGGCCAATTTTGCATTTTCACCCACCCGGTGCAGCGCTTCGTGGCCCCATAGGGAACTCCACCGAAGCCCCCAGTGGGACCGTCCACACGCGCCCCGGAAATCCAATTTGGCATTTTCACCCACCCAGTACAGCGCTTCGTGGCCCCATAGGGAGCTCCACCGGCGGCCTCAGTGTTACCGCCCGCATGCGTTCACCCTCACCCAGTGCAGCGCTTCGTGGCCAAATAGAGAGCTTCACCGAAGAAGATATTCACAATTGCGGCACCCACAACTGCATATGATTGGGTCCTTCGCCAGGATAATTTGTTCAATGCATCGTGTTTTCCTGGGTTTCAGCCTCCTGGGCCCAGTATCGGGTTTGAGGGTCATCAAAGATGGATCTGGAACGAAAACCACCCGCGGATTGAGAACATGATATGGGCGGACGCCTGCCTGGGTGTGCCCCCCTCTATCTACCTTCCTGTGTCACTGCTTTCTTCGAGGCAACGCTCGCACGATGTTTGATTTCACATGCGTGGGCGAGCGCGCAGACGCGCCGATCTGCATGCCGTCGCACGCGTTTATGGGCTGCCCGCAGCCTGCGACTCACCAGGCCAGATCAGACCCTCGCATCCGACCCAGGTACTGTGCTTGAGGAAGGAAAGTAAACACGAGCACAATTGAACGCTGACTTGCGTTAGAACACTTGGAATTAGGGGAACAGGGGCGGAAAACTAACATCCAGGAAATATTGAAAATTATCTTGGCGAAGGACCCAACCATATGCAGTTGTGGGTACCGCAATTGTGAATATCTTCTTCGGTGAAGCTCCCTATGGGGCCACGAAGCGCTGCGCTGGGCGGGGGGGAGGAGGGGGAGGAGGGGGAGGGAGGAGGGAGGAGGAACTCGGGGACCGTCTCTTCAAAACGAAGACCCAACACCACAGGTTGGTTAGAAAAACGAGCTGCCGCCTTCCCTTGGCGGCCGCGGACCCAGGCGCCGACGGCTTCGTGCCCGGCGGCGAGCTGACCACCGAGGCCTTCGCGGCGCGGCTGCCCAGCATCGAGGACGACGGGAAGGGGACCTCCCTGTCGGAGGCCAAGAGGTTGACACCAGCACCCATATTGGACGCGTGCCTCCACTGAGGGAAGATGATCCCGATCTCCGTCACAGTGGTCATATTTTGGCTTCCTAGATGGCCGAAAGAAGACCAACGCCAAACTCTAGGATTATCTTCCCCTGGCAGAGCCAAACCCCTGTGCTGGTGTTAGTACCCATGTCCAAGGCTCCAACTCTACGGTTTGATTCCACGTTTTTTGTTGCAGCGCGATTTGACCACTGAGTCGGCTGACGCGTGGGGAGAAGTGTCTCTGGTCTCTGGGGCTGCGCCTCGTGCTGAAAACATCGAGGGCGGGCGAGGGGGCGCTGCCCCCCCCGCCCCCACACGGGGGATGGACTGCTCGCCGGCCGGGTGCGGCGCAGAGGTGGAGGTGGACCTTCGGCTGCGCGTAAGTGCGGGCCCACAGGGTTGACCCAGCATTAGCTTGCGCGCTTGGATCTGGCCTCCCCACGGCCCCCGAAAGCTGCGCTTGTTTCGTTACCCTCTGCCGCGTAACGGCCGTTACCCGGGCCAACACCTCCCCACCCCACCCCACAAGGTAACGATAACGATCGCAAGATCAGCTTGTGGTTAACAAAATGACGCACCCTTCCAGGCCCCCCACCCCTCTCCGAGGCTGATGCATAGAACCCGCGAGGTGCGAAACTATTTGTTTAATCGCGCGCGCCAGGGGCTCGGCGCCAGCGACGCCGAGCGGATCGCGTACCCCCTCTGCGCGGCAGCCTAAAAACGATTGCGTTTTGCATCGAAGTTGCAATTGTGATCTTATACATCCCAGGCAAAGTCTCTCCTTTCTCAGGCTGCCTACAGACGTGCCACAGTCGTCGTTCTCGTCGTTGTTTTCGTCAACCACAGCCGACCTGCGCAGCAACACCCCCCCATCCCCCTGGGCCAACCGCAGTGCATCGTCATCCGCCGTCGTCGCCGTCGCCGTCGTCGATAACAGCGGGCCTGCGCAGCAGCAGCCCCCCCACAACCGGCCATCCGCAGAGCGTTCGTCGTCGTCCGCAGTCGCCGTCGCCATCGCCGTCGCCGCCGCCGCCGCCGCCGTCCTCGTCGTCGTCGTCATCGTTGTCGTCGTCGTCGCCGCCGCCGTCGTCGTCGTCGTCGTCGTCGTCGTCGTCGTCGTCGTCGTCGTCGTCGTCGTCGTCGTCGTCCCCTCGTCGTCCTCCTCCTCCTCCTTCTCCTTCTTCTCCTCGCCCTCGTCCTCTTCCTCATCGTCGTCCTCATCCTTGTCCTCGTCCTCCACGGCAGCCCTTCGCATCACCCCCCAGTACCCATGGGGCATCCGCAGCGTGCGCGAGCGCGTCGTCGGTCGTCTCGTCGTCGGCCCTGTCTGCTGCCATCGCCGTGGTCGACCACACCGGGTCCACGCAACACCCCCCCATGGCCCATAGGACATATTGTTGTGGAGGGGGGGCGGGGAAGGGGGGAGAAGGCTCGGAGAAGGAGAAGGAGGAACACTTGCCGCCTGCCCTGTCGCTCCTTCCCCCTCCCCCCTTATCTTGCTTGTACTCACGCAATCACCGCACGCCAGCTGTGAGGCGCCTCTTCCTCCCGCCTCGTCTTTCTTTTTTGTCTATAGCAATTTTGGCCGAAGCGCCCCACTGTAGCGGCGGCGACGATGTCCACCATGCAGGAACAGCGCCGCTTGCGTCGCGCCTGTCGCCCTCCAACTGTCGGCCGGGTGTCGGCGCTAATCACCGGCGCCGCCGTGATGTGTTTCACTTTGGCGGGCGTTGCCCCGCGACTCGCCCGAGCAGGGAAACCATTTTCTATATCACGCCCCTGGGTTGTTTTCCTTCATCACAAGCTGTCATGAAGTAGGGGGGGCCTGAGCCCCTCACACATTGGTGCTCGCGCACAGCGCCCCCCCCGCCCCGACGTGCCCCGCTCCGCCCAACCGGAACCGTTACCCGGAGCCTCAATCCCCCCCCCGGGCAGCGACCGTGACCCAGAAGTAACACAAACATTGTCCGCACCAGCGGCCGCTCCTGGCCAGGGCCAGTCGCACGTAGACGACAGCGCAAGAGGAGCGGGAAGGGTCGGAGGCGAACCAGGCTGGGGAGGGCACGTGGCACCAGCCAGAAAATCAAGGCTTCGCCCCACGCTTCCGGGACTTCAGAGCTGCCTTGTCCCATCGATGTTCAGACCGTCTCCTCATTCGGTGGGGACGGGCGCGGCGGAGGAGGCCAGGGGGACGTCAGCTGCAGGCGGGCGCAAGCCCAGATTTCCGGCGACATCGTTTTGTCAAGTGGCGTTTTTTCTTCGATCTGGGCTTCCGGGGCTCACGATGCCGGGCCCCAGGGCCACCAGAAATGGATCCCTGACTCGGGAGTTCAGGGGCCGCGGCTTGAACAAAAGCGCATCAGAGTATGTCTGGGGGGAGGCGAAGGATGGGCGGGAGAGGCGGAGGAGGCCGGGCGGCAGGGCACCGGGCAGCGGCCGTCCCCCGGGGACCGAAACCCCAGTCACAAAACCTCCCAAACCGACCCCTTGCGGGGGGATCTTCTGGAGGCACATCACCCCTATCCCCCCCCAAAAGAAAAACGAGAAGGGTGTTTGGGAGGGCTCCAGAAAGACAACGCATCGAACCCTCCAAACAATCAAACCTTGAACGTGGGTCTTTTCCCGTCGCCATCTTGGCTCAAGGCTTGTAGGTGCAGGCCGCCGGCTCGCGGGCTTCGCCGCCGCGTGCCCTTCTCCCCTGGGGCGCCGCTTGGCCGATGGCGTCCGGCGCGGCGCGCGCACAGATGGCCGCTCGCCTGGGCCGCCGGCCAGGAGTGATGGGCCTGTTTTCCACCACCACCATCACCATAAGTTGGAGGGGGAGGGGCTCCTCCTCCTCCTCCTCCTCCTCCTCCTCCTCCTCCTCCTCCTCCTCCTCCTCCTCCTCTCCTCCTCCTCCTCCTCCTCCTCCTCCTCCTCCTCCTCCTCCTCCTCCTCCTCCTCCTCCTCCTCCTCCTCCTCCTCCTCCTCCTCCTCCTCCTCCTCCTCATACTACTCATTGTGGCGGTGGTGGAAACCGTGCCCAGCAAGGAGGTGTCCAGAGCTGGTGGGCGAGCCGCGGGGCGGCGGCCGCCGCCCGGGCTCCGCCGCCAGCGCCCGCCGGCCTGCGCGGGCCCCTGTGGCACGCGGCGGCTGCCCTTCCTCCCCAGACATGGTCGCGTCGTTAAAATCAAGCAGTGGCAAAGCGTCCTGGCGTGCCTATAGCCCTACCAAGCAATGTTTTAAGAACCTTTTGTGGCTTCCACGAAATGTTCTTAGAACATTTCTGGTTGGGACTGTCTTGGTTTGCTCTTGAGGCGACAGGCGGCGACGATGAGCTCGGCAGACCACATCGGCGCCGCCGAAGGGACGGCGTCGGGACGAGCTGCGTGCAGCTCGTCCAGGAGGCGCGTTCCAGGCTCAAGAGGAATTACACCAGAGAAACACCCCAATCAGTGGATGGTTTTCGCTGAGGAGATCGACCGAGAACCCGGGAGCCCGGGAACCCAGAACCCACCGAAATCGGCCCGGAGCCTATATAACCGGGAACCCCTGCAGGAAGCCGGGAACCCGGCCTGCTACCAAAATCGGCGGGAAGCTTTCGCCAAAGCTCTCAACTTCCGCTGTCACCACCTACCAGAGCACCCCAACCCAACCCGAAGGCCTCAATTTGCCCTCCATTTCCAGTGGGGGGGGGGTCGGAGAACGTTGAAAAAACACATGGAACCCGTACCCTCCCCAACCAGAAATTCGGGTCAAATTTGGGTCTTCGGGTTGGGTTGGGGTGGTCTGGTAGGTAGTCACGCTGGGACCCCTTTAGTGCAAGCACTGATTGGGGACTCGCAGGACGGCAAGCTTTGCGTTGTTTTCGGCACCATGGGGGCCGTCGCCCGGCCCCGGGACCGTCGAGGTCGGCCCCGGGGAAAGGGTCTGGGCTTCCGGGGAGGCCGCGCTGAGACAATCAGGGCGTCGCATGTCTGGGTCTTCCCCCCGTCGCGCCCGGACCTGCTCTCCAGCCACACGCGGCCTGGCTCGTGGCCTGCAGGGGCCTGGCCGCGCAGAGGCGGGTGGACCCGGACAGGCCCAAGAGGCCCACGAGCGCGTATCTGCGATTCCTGAGTGAGTTCCGTTCGCAGAAGCCTGCCGACCTTTCCGGGAAGGACCTCATGAAGGCGGCGGGAGCCGAGTGGAAGGCGCTGCCCGCGGAGCGCAAGAAGCCCTACGAGGCCGCCTACGAAAAGGAGGCGGTGGTGTACAGGAGTGCTTACGATCAGTACGTGTCTTCAGGGAAGAAGGACGCGTTCAAGCGAGACCCAGACAAACCCAAGAGACCACTCACAGGTTTCCTGCGGTTTGTGGCTGAGAAGAGGGAGCAAAACAAAGACGCTAAGCCGACGGTCCTAACGAAGGAGGCGAGTGACTCCTGGAAGGGCATGTCGGAGGCGCAGCGGAAGCCATACAACGAGGCGTACGAGCTGGACAAGGCACGATACGCAGAGAAAATGAAGGCATACGTTGCAACTGGAAAAGAGGAGGAGTGGAAGGCCAAAGTCGGCATCAAGACCATGTCGGAGAAGCTCGAGGAGAAGAAGGCCGCCAAGGAGGCCGCGGCGCTCAAGAGGAAGGCCGAGGCGGAAAAAAAGAAGGCGGCCGCCCAGAAGAAGAAGGACGCGCTGAAGGCCAAGAAGGCCGCCGCCGCGGAGAAGAAGGCCGCACAAAAGGCAGCCGCGGCGGACAAGAAGAGGGCCAAGGCTGCCGCGCTCAAGGCTAAGGCGGCGGAGACCCTGGCCAAGAAGAAGAAGGCCCAGGCGGCGAAGGCAGCTAAGGAGAAGAAGGTTGTCAGCACGGGGAAAGCCAAGTGAGGCAGCCTTCCTCATGCTCTTCCTCCTCCTCCCCCCTCTCCCTCAGATCGAGCCTCCTCGATCCTCCTCGCTCGTTGATCCTCCTCGTGCACTGGCCAGGGGGGGGGGGCGTAGGCTGCGCTGGGGGTCGCCGCAGCCGCCACTGCCCCCCGCCTCAATCGTCATCATCGCCGTCGCGAATGGCATAATTGCATAGCTTCTTCAGCTTCTCTGCAACTCCGCACCGCCTCGTATCAGACAGAGGGACCCGCACGAGCTGTCCGACTGTCGAGGCATGCGCCTCTCGCTGGCGCGTGCTTCCCACCTCTGCCTGGTGCTGTAAAGGTATGCAGTATTCTTCCCTGACGGCATCCCTTCAGTCGTTTCAATCCCTGGCGGGCGGCAATTACTTTTAGGGATCATGGGGGTAATCACTGCAAGCTGATGCTGTCCGACCAGATTGAGGGCAAGAATGTTGGAAAAGTAGTATTCGCGGGAGAGAGAAACTTGAGGGGGGGCCTGGGGGAATCCCCCCTTCACCTTGCTAAAAACCCTTCCTGGAGGGGGTCGGCGCTGAGCACCAGGGCCCGGCCGCGCCCGCGGGACGTGGTCAAAGCTCCACTGGTCGGCTATACGTAAGAGTGACGTTTCGCTGGAGGGTCCTCGGGTGCGGGCACAGTGAGGCCCGCAGATGGCCGGATGCGATGCGACAACAGTGGCTTGCGCGCTCCAGCTTGGCCACCCCGCGCCCCCGCCGAGCCGCGCACCAAATGCAACTCTTGCCCAGGCGCGCTCTTGCGTGGAGCCGATGGGTGCGCGGTCGACGGGCGAGTCGGGCGCCCGCACGCAGCGCACGTCGGCCGTGGGGGCGTTGGCTGCCCAGCGTGCTCGGGTCGCTGCTCCTCCAGGCTCCATCGGGGCGTTGCCGAACGAGTGACGACAGGAAACGGGGTCGATTCCGCCGGCATTCGCGCGTGAGTTTCCCGCGTAAGGCCACGCGCAAGCGCCCGCGGCTCCAAGGTGGCGTACCGCGTTGGCGGCCCGCGTAAACCGCGGCATAAGGTCGCTACGTCATCGCTACGTCATCGCTCAAAGTGTCCCTGCCAGGGTGTCCCAAGGGCCCTGGGGAGGCCCGCAGGTCGAATAACAAAAGAAGGCATACGCATTATTTCTCGGAGGTCCTCGCGGATCTCTTGGAGCGGCGCCTCTGGCGCCGAGTCAGGGAGGGGAGTCCAGCGCCAATCTAAGAAATCCGCGCAGACCTCCGAGAAATTACGCAGATGTTTCCCCTAAGATGGCCGCCAGACCACCCCTCACAAGGCCCAGAGTGCCCCAGGGGCATCAAAATGGTGGAAAAAACGGGGGTCGCCTTGGGCCAGGAACATTTCTGGCAACACCCGATCCATGGCCGCGCGCAGTCAGCTGCCGATTCTCGCTTCGCTTCGCCAGCGGTCGAATCATGTGATGTGGCACACCTGGTGCGAGGAGCACGAGGCAGGCTCATGTGCGGGCGCGTGTCAGAAGTCCAGCCCTCGGGTAGATTCGAGGCAGCCGCCCAGTAAAATTCGTACCATCCGCGTTGTGGGCTATGGTCGCTGCTGTTGCGGTTGCTCGCCGGAGATTCCGTGCGCGTGGACGACCACAGGAGCAGGAGGAGGAGGCCAGCCGCTTCGTGCGAAGAGGTGGAGGAGGAGGGGGAGGAGGAGGAGGAGGAGGAGGAGGAGGAGGAGGAGGAGGAGGAGGAAGAGGAGGAGGAGGGTATTGGCGTTCAATGCGCTGTGGTTTAACCAGGGCCCGATATCCACCCCTTCTGCCTTCCTCCATGCTGTGTTTCGGGATGTAGGAGAGGACGGATGGGGCTCCCACTCTTCTTCCTTCCCATGTTCGGAGCACAAGAAACGACGCACCTGGGCGTGGGTGCGTCCCGCGGCCGCGCAACGGCGGGCGCCCTTGGGATGCTAGCGAGCGCGCGACTGCGGGTCAGGGATCGCCGTCTGATGGCGTTGCGCAGCAGGAGGATGAGGACAGCAGGGGAATGGTGAGGAGGAGGGGGGGAGTCAACCCCTTGTTGTGGCGCGGGGGCTCGGGTGGCCCCAGGAGGCGAGGCCCAGACGCGGCAGCGGGGTCCAGGGTCCAAGGCGAGCCCGGTCCTGCCCACCCCTTCGGCCGCAACCTCGTTTTTTTGAGGGGGAATCTGGGTCTTACACATCCATAAGCACTGTTTAAAGTGCATGGGCTCCAGACTTCGTTTTAAGGAAAACCCTGAATCTGGACTGGACCCTGGGCGCTTTCTTATATTTTGGTGCGCAAGTATTTCGTGTCTCTGTGCCTGGACTACTGTTTAAGAACGCGCTCGGAGCGAAGTCCACTTTCTCAGCTCCAACATCGTCTTAGCTTTAAGCAGGGGTGTAGCGTAAATGATACCCCTATCGCATGCGTTGCTCAGGGCTGTGCTCATACGGATGCGCATATGCTTGTTTCGTGCTCCTCTTCTCTATTTATTGCTAGCCGGCCGCTCTGTGGTTGATTGCCGGTTTCTGTATGTAGAGATGAGGAATGCGCAGGGACTTCTCTGGGCCGCTCCCTTTGGTTCGATGTTGCGAGGACTCCCCGAGCGAGGGCGCCTGTGCGGGATTCTGCGCCAGGAGTCAGAATGACGTGAGTTCTACAGAAACTCCCCCAAGTTTAGTACATCTACCCAGGCACTACCACCTGGCCGGCCAGTAGGGGTCCTTATTCAAATTGAACGTTTTCCCTTTCAACCTGGACGTGGTGGCGTCGACGTTGCAAAATGCGTGGCAAGAATGTGACAAGGCGCCCATGCCGCGCGGATGGGCAAAGTGCCGCTTTTGCCTGTGCGCCGAGCTCATGTTCCTAAGGATTGAGCTCCCACTTGGGCACTGCGCGCACTGTTGGCTCGCCAGTTCGTCAAGGCGCGCGCACGCGGGCGAAGATGTCACAGATTTTGCCTGAAAGTGGCGTTCCCGCCTCGGCGCGGCGCGTATGCTTCGCTCGTCAAGCCGTTGCGGGGGCAGGGGCCGCGCGCGCGAGCAGGCAGCTTGTCGCCCTCGCCGACGCGCCGTGCGCATTTCGCCTGGCGGCACCGCTCCCGCGCGGGCGCGGCTCATGCTTCGCTCGTCGAAGCACATGGCAGTGGCGGCGGTATTGGGGCCGCGCGACAGTGGGCGAAACCCTGTCCTCGCGCAAGCATCGCGCAGTTGGTGCGCCAGGCTGTGAAGGCGGCAGTGCTGTGTCGACGCGGCGTCGGACTCGTCTTCGCCGCGCCCGCTGGAACTCTGGCCGCACGGCGTAGGTTCGCGGATGCTCTCGCCACCTCGTCGCGCAGGGGATTTCTGGCGTTCCGCTCCCGCCCGTGCGCGGCCCGCGTCTTTGTTTTCTCCCGTGAGGTCGTCGGAAGCGGGAGACCGCGCGAGCGCCTTCGGCTCGTTGGGTGGGAGCGCGCTCCGATCCCAAGATCAAGCCGTGTCACCATCGATCCTCGTGCTGTGGGAGGGAGGGGGTCTGGGGAGGGGAATGGGCGGAGCCCGCTGGCGCGCTCGACCTGGCCAATTCCCACCCGTCTTCCTCACACCCCTGCCCTCATGTTGGCTTCATGCGTGAGTGCATGCTCCCACTTCCGGTCGTTTTCTTCTCGCTGGGGGCCCCAAGCGGGTCGCTCCGAGGTTGCGTGTTTCTTTCTGGCGTTGGCGTTCTGTCGTCGACGTGTCAGAATGAGCGGCGGGGACGGGACGCGGCGTACAATGTGCGCGCGAGGGATCGAAACTATGATCTGGCTGCGGCGGCGCGCAGTGGTGCCGCGACATGTGCGCTTAAGTGTGGGCGCGGTTCACACATGTTGCCCGCGCCAAGAGTCATTTTCAAGGTTACGATCAGCTCGGGGGCTGCGCATGTTCTCAATCGCCAAAAATTTCATTGGGAGGCGAACCATGCATGAGCGAAAACGGAGTGCAACTTTCGCTTCAGAGCCTCGATTATTCCTCCAAGTTGCCCTGTAGCTGAGGTGCGACACGTCGTTTCCCTCGGCACGTCGTCGGAACCTGTTCGCGAAGCGGAGAGCGTAATGTTGCCTTCGCTGTCTGGCCAACACTAAACACACCAATGAAGAGGCTGCCTGTCAGCAGGTGCCCCACGAAAGTTTCTTACAGTCGGGGCGCTGAAATACGGAATTCTTCCGTTGGGGAGGGGCTCCGTGTTCCTTATCATGTGGAAATCGAAGTCTACCTTCTGGAAGAAAGGTGCCTCGTCCCTTACTTAGGGTTCCTTGGGTCAGCGCCCCGACTGTACCCCTCGAGCGGCCCTGGGGACCCGCCTAGAAGCCCTTGGTGCAGCTCTGGGAGCCCAAAAAGCTCGATGACCAGCTTGCCCAAAGATTTTCTTACAGGACGATGTTTATCATCTCCTCCTCCTCCTCCTCCTCCTCCTCCTCCTCCTCCTCCTCCTCTTCCCTTCTCCTCCTCCTCCTCTCATCCTCTCCTCCTCTTCCTCCTCCTCCTCTCCTCTCCTCCTCCTCCTCCTCCTCCTCCTCCTCCTCCTCCCCTCCTCCTCCTCCCCGCCCTCCTCCTCCTCCTCCTCCTCCTCCTCCTCCGCCTCCTCCTCCTCCTCCTCCTTTTCTTTTGTCACAGCAAGATCACCGTATGTGTACTCGTGCGCTCCCGCTTGCGATCGGCGCACTCGTGCGCCAGATCTCTGGGAATCAGGCCACGCACGGCCGGGCGCCTTCTACTCCGCCGGGCGAAATCACGCGCCGATCCAACCGTGCAATCAGTACGACACTGACTCGTGTGCAATATGAGAGAGGGTGCGAGAAAGAAATGGAGAGAGACGCTGAGGTCTGAGATCCTGGCTGTGTAGTTTTTCGCAACGGGCGATGTTGCCCTGTCTCGGGTCCGGGAACATCACTGATCGATCCGGCTCGAAAAATGCAACAGAACGACGGGGTTCAGGCATCCGGCCGAGTTGTTGTTTACGCCGTTACAATGCGTAGGTGACGTCGGACCTCAGGGGAGAATTGGATCGGGCGGGGCCCTCGACTTGCCCAAGCCGGCTCTCCTCAGCCGGTACTCACCGAGGCCAAGACCCAGACCTCCTTACGGTAGGTTCGCGTTGTGTCGACAAGCGGCGACCCCGTCGCAGGCGGTCAACTTTGAACGCCGCCGGCGATTCAGAATCGGTCGATCTTGAACGATTTAACGTTTCAGAAACGGCCGATCGTTCAAGGTTGAATGATCCCCACGGTGTCAGGAACCAACGCCGGGGTCGACAGAACACGAAACTGCGGTAGGATTCTTCAGGAGCTCTCAAGAAGGATTCCAGCGTGGAGCTCGCGCATCATGGAGCCCTCAGGATTCAGGAGACCAGAATTCGGAGTCCGTAGGACCCCTTAGCATTCCGAACCTAAGAACTCCTGCCGGAATGTGGGGTTCCCGAGGAACTCGCCTCAGACACCAACCCAGGCCTTCAAAGAATTCTTCCGAATACGTCGGGCTGTTGGCATGGGCGCCCAGATGGGCCTTGGCCCTGTCACCAACCGAAGCTCGAGATTGCATGGCAGCCGGACGCGGTGACCCACAAGAGGCATTGGATTCCATGGCGGGCGGGCCCCGTGGCCCGACAAAAGCACGGGGTCCTGTGGCAGGTGGGCCCCAGGCCATGCAAAGTACACAGGTAATGGGATCGTGGCGGCAGGTGGGCCCCGCGCCTCACAAAACGCACGGGATTTCAGAGCGGGAGCACCCCGCGCCCCGTCCTAGGTAAATAACAGTTCGCTCGCAATGAGCCCAAGGGGTATCATGTTGTAGACAAGCGGGAGCGCTCACAATGTATGTTGTTGAAGATCACGCCGTTTGCAACAGCCGCTTCTCTCAGCCGCTCCCGGACGGCACTTGGAGGCCCCTCGCGCTTGAGCCAGGCAGTGTCCGAAGCCCCTCGGAAAGGTCCACATGGGACATTGTTCGATGCTCATATGTTCGGCCGCTGCGCGTGCGGAGCGCCATGGGGCCGCACCCTCCAAGACCTGCGGTTGGTCGTGTCGCCGCGCGCGCCAGTCTCAGCGTGAGTCCCTCGGGCTTGCCAGTCCCACCACCCCGCCGTGTAGAATCGAGTTCACCCTTGGTCGCTTCCGTCTGCCTCCCTGTCGTTGCATGCTTGCCTCACTTTCGCATGCCTCTCTCGCGCACTCCCTCGTGGCGTGTCGGCCTCTGCGTCTTGCCGCCTGTTTTTACATAAGCTGTCTGGGACTACCTTTGATCGAATTGGGACCGTAGCCTGGGCAGCACCCACGCGCACTTTCCTTGACGAATATGCCTGCCCATGTCCACGCCGGTCCGTGAGTCCGTCTCCCATCCTATCTCTGTGTAAGCGCTTCTCGCGATGCGTATCCCATGGGAGGAGCTCAAGCGGGTTATTCGTCATGGGTCTCGCCGCTGGGGCAAGACTGGCTTGGCCATCGTTGGCGGGGCTGACAGCTTGACGGGCCGAGGATTCGGACAGGACAGGTAGATTGTTGTCATGATGTTATTCGCGTTTCTTCGTTCATCTCTCTTTCCATCCCACCCCTTGTCCTCCGTCCGTCCGTCCGTCTGCTTCTCCTCAACTGTACTCTGTTTCTGCGTCTACGCAGCTTGTTCCATGCCTCTAGGCCCAGATTTGATGTGGGGATCTTGCATCATCGGATGGCCCACGACCGATGCCTCGGTATGATTCGCATTCGTTCTCTCAGGATGCACGAACGTTGCGCGTTCCAATTTGGTGCTCGGATTGTCTGGCCGTGGCGCAGGCTGCCTTGGGTCGCGCAGTCGCGAAGGAGCTTCGGCACAGTACGCGGGCACATGAAGGGCGCCACTGCCTTTCTCGGAGGTGACCCGGTGCCACCCGGTGCGGTCCCTCATGACATCTCTAGACGCCAGGGACGACCGCCGTCCTCGCTCATTCCTCCTCCTCCTCCTTCTCCTCCCCCTCCCCCATCCAGCGCACGCTGCAGAGCACAGTAGATCAGCAGAGACACATTGGACCATGAAGTGCTTTTACTCATTCATTCATTCATTCATTCATTCATTGATTCATTCATTCATGCCTCCCCCATCCTCCTCCTCCTCCTCCTCCTCCTCCTCCTCCTCCTCCTCCTCCTGGCCTCCTCCCCTCACCCTTCCCCCTCCCTCCTCCTCTCCTCCTGCTTCCCTCATCTTTCCTTCTTCTCCTGTCATCCCTCCTCTTTCCTCCTGCCTCTCTCTCTTCTCCATCCCCTCTCCCTCCTGCCTCTCTGCCTCTCCTGTCTGCACTCGTCCTTCATCCCCCGTCTCCCTCACCCTCCCGCCCTCCCTTCCGGGAGCAGCAAATGCAGAGTACAGTGTATTGCGTTGAAGCATTAAGGGCATGTGGCCTCTCCTACTTGTGAGCGTGCGCGGAGCAGTTGGGAGGAAGCAGTGCAAGGGGACGGAAGCCTTTGGTGGGATGATGACCGTGGGGACGAGTGCTCTTCTCCATGCGGCCTGTGCCGCGGGGATGCTTCAGCGCTATGAGCTGCAGCAGGGCTTCCTGCCTCGCGTGAAACCCTACCTGGGGCTTACTGTCATAGGGGGAGGGGCGCGGGGGGCAGCCACTTGACAGGGCCGGCAGGTGGATCCTGGAACGCCGGCGACTCCCTGCCTCTGTCCTCCCTCTCCTCTCGGTTAGGCCCGAGAGTGACCCTTTGCCAGAGCGACCTTTATTTAATCGCTTCGCTCATTCTGCCGGCCCTGGAGCCCTCTTTAGGGCCTCTTGCTTGGGGGCCTCTTGGGGACCTCTTGGGAGTCTCTTGGGGCTCCCTGGCGGCGTCTTGGGGGCCCCCAGGGCCTCTTGGGGGGGTTTGGGGGGCCTCTCGGGGCGGGAGGGGGGGTAGTCGATTGCGGCTCCCCCCTCGGAGGCCACGATCCTCGTGAGCGGTGTCGAAAAATGGCCCTCCCCTGGAGTGCTCTGGTGGCTTCTCCCGGGACCTTGCTGGGGTACTTTTTCATCCGCGGGCCCCCGAGGCCGCTCCGCGCGCGCGAAGTAGAAATTGTGTTAACCAGGTGCCAGAGATCTTAGCACGCTTCTGGCCCTTTTCGGGGAGACGTAAGACTCGAGTGAGCCGGAACTCGGGTTTGCCGATTTTTTTTGACGAGCGCGCCCTGGATTTTGACGGTCCCGTTTTCGTGGGATGTCTGCAGCGGGAGCCCGCGTCAAATTTCAGATTGGGTCTCGTCATTTTTGTGTTGGCGCCCTTCAGGCCAACCCGAGTCTTACGTCTCCCCGACCGTTGGGCGGGGGGAATTTAGTGCATGGCTTTCGGGTGGCGCGGGGAGGACCTCGTCCAATCATGCAGGCCGCTGCTATCGCATCGCCTGCGCAACGGTCGGAACACCGCGCGCCAGCGGTCACTCGTGCCCAGGATCGCTCTTGTGGCGTGCAGCCGGTCCCCCTCCGATCCTCTGTGGTGGCCGTCTCTCCTCCTTCCTTCCCACCTCCGCCTCGCCTTCGCCGCGTTTTCTGGCGCCCCTGGGAGGCTCTGACCGTGCTTCCTCGGAGGAGAAGGAGGAGGAGGTCAGGAAGAGGATGAGGAGGAGGAAGAGGAGGTCAGGAGGAGGAGGAGGAGGAGGAGGAGGAGGAGAACGAGAAGGAGGAGGAGAAGGAGAAGGAGGAGGAGGAGGAGGAGGAGGAGGAGGGAGGAGGAGGAGGAGGGAGGAGGAGGAGGAGGAGGAGGAGGAGGAGGAGGAGGAGGAGGAGGAGGGGAGGGAGGAGGAGGAGGAGGAGGAGGAGAAGGAGGGAGAAGGAGGAGGAGGAGGAGGAGGGAGGAGGAGGAGGAGGAGGAGGAGGAGGAGGAGGAGGAGGAGGAGGAGGAGGAGGGAGGAGGAGGGAGAGGAGGAGGGAGAGGAGGAGGGAGAGGAGGAGGTGCCCCCTCGCATTGAGCTCTGCGGGCTCTGGCCTGGACCCTCCCGCCTCTCTCCCTTCTTCTTGAGCACGACTGCGCGTCAATGCCACCGTCCGCCGCCGCTGCCGCCTGCCTTCTCCCCCTCGCCGCGGCGCCCCGCCAACGGCCGCGCGCGAGAACGAAGGAGGGGGGTCGAAGGAGAAGAAGCGCCATAAACAGAAACTTTTGGCGCTCCGCCGCGGATCCAAGAAATCCCCCTGGAGCGCCAAAGTTTACGTGTACGGCGTTTTTTCGTCTGGGGGAAGGAGGAGGGCGGAGATTTGTCCAGGGGGCTGCTGGACGGGAGTTGCTGGAAGGAGATCGACTCCCACGCGGAAGTGGTACGCTTCAACGAGATTGTTGGCAACAAGCTGGTGCCGGAGGAGACAGGCGTCAGGAGGGGATGGCCTGCTGTCTGGACGTGGGCGTGAAAGGGACCCAGGGCATTTCTCCTGATCCTCCTGCTCCTGCTCACCACCCCCGCCCTCTGGAGCACTCGAGTGCGAGAAACCACGCGCGAGGGGACGAGACAGGAAACGACGAAGGCGACGAAAAAGTAGTGTGATCACATGTCCAGCCAGCGCACAGTCTCCAGCCAAACGATACTGTCAATAAAACTGAAGGGCCTGCGAGTTTTGTTTCAGCGCGTGCGAAGAAAAACAGTGATCACATGTCCAGCCCGTTCACAACCTCAGGCCAAAGGATACGGGCCCAGTAAACTGAAGGGTCCGCAAGCTAGGCTCAAACATGCGTGACCAAAAACAACGTGGTCACATGTCAAGGCCGACCCACCACGCTTCGGCGCGACCCGCTATCCACTTCTAGCGCCAACTTCCCGGCCCCCCGCCCCGCGGAGCGGAGCGACACGCTATCCCCGTGCACGGCATGGCGTGTCGCCGGGGCCGCCGTCGCGACACGCTGAGCAAGAGTTCCGGACCTCGAGTGCTGCAGAGCCCGCGCGGCGGCGGCGGGCGCCGCAGGGGCGCTGGCAGAGCGACGTGGCAAGAGCGGGCTCGCGTGAGCGCGCAAGTTGCCCGCTTGAGGTGGCGCGTAGGCGCCCTCGCCTACAGGAGGAGGAGGAGGAGGAGGAGGAGGAGGAGGAGGTCTGGAGGTCTGGAGGTCTGGAGGTCTGGAGGTCTGGAGGTCTGGAGGTCTGGAGGTCTGGAGGTCTGGAGGAGGAGGAAGAGCAGGGTGAGGAATAGGAGAAGGAGGAGGAGGAAGAGGGAGGAAGTAGGAGGGAGTAGGTGGGGTGAGGAGGCCGAGAGAGTGGTGGCTTGCCGCGCTGGCGGCCCACGCAAGCCGCCGCGCAAGGTCGCCACGTCGTCGTGCCCGGGACCATGCCCTCGTGGTCCGAGGATCCTGAGGCGTCCCAGAGCTTCCCGGGCTTCTGTTGCTCCCATCGCACTTGAGGACCACATCCAGAAATAATTTCGAGCACCCGGAAAAGTGTCGAAACAGTGTCGGACGAGTGCCTCCCAGGGCCCGACACGTGGAGACCCTCGAGTTTCGGTCCTTTTTCTTTCTGGCGCTCGACAGTCTGTCTGGTGGTCAAGGCTAGAGTCGGTTGGAACATCACGACCCTGGGTCGCAGGTGCAAACTCTCCTATACGCGGACCCTCACTCTGATCCATTAAAGTGTCAGCCTCCGCACGCCGCCTGCTCTCCGGGGAAAGCGCCTGCTGAACTGCAGCACGACGCGCAGCAAGGCGGGCGAGAGTGTCCGGCTTCGACTCCTTGGCGAACTGCGGCTTCTGAACCCCGAAAGTTTGTCTGGTGGTCAAGGCTAGAGTAGGTTGGAACATCACAACCCTGGGTCGACCCAGGGATCCCAGGGATCCCTGGGGCCAGGGATCACTGGGGCCATTGTGGGATCCAGGGACCCAGGGTCGACCCAGGGATCCACAACCCTGGGTCGACCCAGGGATCCCAGGGATCCCAGGGATCACATCCCACAATGGCCCCAGGGGTCCCTGGGGCCCTCGTGGGATGCGGTCGAGAGCTGTGGCCCAGCGCGTCGCGCCGCCAGCTCTGGCCCCCCACGCCTCGGCGCGACGCGCCATCCGCGTCCCCGGCCCCCTAAGCGTCACTGCCTCTCTTCGTCCCCCTCCCCCTCCCCCTCCCCCTCCTCCTCCTCCTCCTCCTCCTCCTCTCCTCTCCTCCTCCTCCTCCTCCTCCTCCTCCTCCTCCTCCTCCTCCTCCTCCTCCTCCTCCTCCTCCTCCTCCTCCTCCTCCCTCGACCCCAGGAGGCGCGTCACGCCTCCCGCCCCGCGGAGCGGAGCGACGCGCACGGCACAGCGCGTCTCCGGGGCCGCCGCCGCGGCACGCGCAGCGAGGGCCCCGACCGCCAGCGGCGTCCGCGGGGCGCCTGCCGGCGGGCGGGTCTCTCGCTCGGCGTGCCTGCGCGGGGGTCCGCAGCCGCTCCGGCCGGGGCCCATGGCTCGAGCGCGGCGGAGCCGGGGCGCCGCGGCGGCGGGCGCCGCGGCCGCGCCGCCGAGATGGGCAAGGGCTGCGGCAAGCGGGGCCCGGCCGGCGGCGCGAGGGGGCGGGGCAGGCAGCCGCGGCGCCAGGGCGCCGACGCCGCCGAGGTGGGCGAGGGCCCGTGCTCGGGCGAGGAGCCCGTCTCGGAGGACGAGCCTGGTGCCGGGGACTCCGAGGCGGGGCTCATGTCGTGTCCTCCGGCTCGATCCGAGGTCGATCGGTGCCGATTCCGAGTCGATGCGGCTTCGGATTCTGGGTTGGGACTTCCGTCTCGCAAAGGAGGCCCTGCAAGCCTGTCGATTTCCGCCGACTCGACTCTCCCGACTCTGCGACCGATTTCCGCCGATCCGATTCGTTTCTCGTCACAGGGGGAAACGGATCCTGAGGGAAACGGGTCCTGATGTTTTTCACCGTTTTCGAAAGCTCCGGTAGAGGGAAACAATTACTGAACACCCCCCCTCTCCTCAATTTTGGCACGCGCGGGGGAGACTGCGGTCGAAGTGCATCTCATCAGACCCACCGCCAACTTTGAACATTGGGGGGAGGGGGAGGCGTTGATGGATGAATGTGGCCTGCGTTCGCAAATTTGTTCCGAGGCCTGTCGGGGCCATCCACGGGCCCCAGGGCTGTCTGGAAACGGCTCGGGATGAACAAGTGATCCTGGAGCGCAGGCCCCAGGGTCCAGGGCCCGTTTCCCTCCGGACCCGCTTCCCCCATGCTAAAGTTAAATCCGGCCTGTCCCTCTACAGGGGGGGTATTCAAAAGCAGTAAAACAAATAGTCTGGGGGCTATTTTGTTAGTATCTTTTGACAACTTCTGAGTATTGTTTGGGTAGTCCTTATTTTCCGTCCGAAAACCCCCTGTAGGGGGACAGGCCCGACCGAAGGCTAAATTTCGATCGCCGATCCGACTCGTCGACTCGATTCTGGGCCCTCCTGCTCCGAGGGGGGGCCCGTGCGCCGCGTGCGCCTGGCCCTCTTCGAGTTCGCCCAGAACGACCCGAAGGCGGACGGCGGGAGCGCGGGGGGGAAGTCGGAAGGAGAAGGCCTCGAAGGCATTTGGCAGTTCATCCCGGACGCACTGACTTTTCAGGACCAATTCGATCTCAGTGATCTGGGCTCGGTTTTTCGACGGCGGGAATTCTCAGAAGCGCTCCGGCCTTCTGAGAAGCTGTTTTGCGTCTTCGGGGCAGGCTCAGAAGACTTCTCAGACGGCCGGTTCCGAGCCTTCTGAGAAGGCCCGTCCCTGTTTTTTTCCCCCCCGGGCTCGCCGCCGAAAGGTGGACAGCGGGAGCAAGATGGCGCGCATGTCGGAGAGGAAAATGCTGCATGAGCACAAAGTTCCGGAGCTCCGCGCGCCTTTCCTGGACCGGCGCCGGGCCCTCCCGGCGGCACCTCTCCGAGGCGGGAGGTTATACATGACCACCGCCTAGAGGGTCAGTTTTGAGAGCCTCGGCAGGCAGTGGATATGGACATAATCGGGCTCCCGGGGGCCGAAATATATCCACATCCACCGCCCGCTGGGACACCAGGACGTCGGTTCCCAGGCCGTGGATATGGATAATTCCCCGCCTCGCAACCTCTGGCTCCGCCAACGGCGCGCGCCGCGCGCCAGGGGAGGGGGGCCCAGCGCCGATGCAGGACATTCGCGCGGAGGCCAGAACAAAAAGGCTTGTGCAGTTGTTCCTCTTCTAGCATGGGCCTCGCCAGGGCCATGAAGCCGAACGCCACTTTCCACGGCATCGTCCTGAGTCCTCTTCCTCCTCCTCCTCCTCCTCCTCCTCCTCCTCCTCCTCCTCCTCCTCCTCCTCCTCCTCCTCCTCCTCCTCGGCATCATCCTGAGCCCCCAGAGCCCGACGCCCGTGTCGGCGCAGGACAGGGAGTGCCTCCTCGCCAACGGCCTCGCCGGCATCAACGCCAGCTGGAACCGCATGGACGAGCTGCCGTGGCAGCGGCTTCGACGGCAGGGCCAGCACCGCATCCTCCCACATCTCGTGGCGGCGAACGCCATCAACTATTCGAAGAAGAAACAGCGCCATGAACATACACTTTTGGCGCTCTGCGCGTTTTTCTTGCATCCGCGCTTGGGCCCCCCTCGGCGGCGCCTCCGGCGCCGCCCCTGGCTCGCTCCGCGCTCCGGCGAGGGGGGCCCAGCGCGGATCCAAGAAATCCGCGCGGAGCGCCAGAAGTTTATGTTCATGGCGTTGTTTCTTCTTCTACGATGGCCGCCCCATGAAGCTGAACACTGCAGAGGCCATGGCCGCCACCCTGCTCATCGCCGGCCTCGACGACGATGCCGCCGCGATCATGCGGTCTTTTCAGTGGGGCGAGGAGTTTTTGAAGATCAACCTCGAGGCTCGGAGGATGGCCAGTCGAGACAACGCTGGCTCAAAATCAGTCCCCAGACCGCTCCCGGGGTCCATCCTGACCCCTGTCGTTTCCAGGCGGTCCCAGCACCGGCGACGAGAACCCTCCAGGAGGCCCAAGGACGAAAACCACGCCAGGCCCAGATCCCGAAAACCCCGGGTTGGCCCCGTGTCACTACCACGCCAATGTGGGACGACTTCCAGGACACGTGCGTTCAGCAGTGATACTGCAGGTCCTCCCCTCCTCCTCCTCCTCCTCCTCCTCCTCCTCCTCCTCCTCCTCCTCCTCCTCCTCCTCCTCCTCCTCCTCCTGCTCTTGCTCCTACTCTGCCTCCGACGCAACACTTCACATTGTTTCACACGCGTGTACCTCAGCAGGCGCCTCGGTGCCCCCTCCGCCGTGCCTTCATGGCGCCACGAGTGCGGAGCCGTGTAGCCGTAGCCATAGTCGACCCCCAGAGGTCTCGACCCATTCTCCCAGGGACCGGCTTCTCATCCTGAGTCGTTTTCTGACGGCCCTGAGGCCCGGCAAGGTTCTCCAGAAGCCAAGAGTGTCAGAACAAATCCCGCCGTGCTTTTTCTAGGACGACGAACAACGACACAAACGTATCATAAGAGCTCGGAGGTCCGCGCGGATTTTTCAGATCGGCGCTGGACCCCCTTCCCTGGCGCGCGGAGCGCCCCAGGGGCGGCGCCGGAGGCGCCGCCCAGGGGGTCCAGCGCCGATCCGAGACATCCGCCCAGACCACCTCCGAGTTTTTATGTGTCTGTCATTGTTCGTCCTTCCTCCTCCTCCCCCTCCTCCTCCTCCTCCTCCTCCTCCTCCTCCACCTCCTCCTCCTCCTCCTCCTCCTCCTCCCCCTCCTCCTTCTCCTCCTCCTTTTTGTTCACGACGCGAGGGGATCGGGGGGGAGTGCCGCCGTCGTCTCGACCGGCCCCCCGGCCGAGAGGCCCTCGCCGCCTATGCGTGCGCCCCCGACGCGGAGGGCGTGCGCCGCCGGGAGGCGGAGCTGCTGTCGCGCCGCTGCGACGAGAGGGCGGCGCGCAAGGCCGACGCGGACCTCGGGGGCAACGAGATAGTCAGTCCGCATACTATTATCGACTAGACGTAAGAGTGACCTTTCGCAGGAGTGACCGTTGGTGCGGGCCCAATGGGGTCCCCCGATCGCTGAACTCGAGGCGGCAGTGGCGTCTTGCGCGCTTGTATTTGGCTACCCCGCGCCCCCCCAAAAGCCGCGCACCAAAGGTTACTCTTACCCCGGGTCACTCTTGCGTGTAGCCGATATTAAATCGGGCATGTCCCTCTACAGGAGGAATCTTCGAAAATAGTCAAAAAGTAGTCTGGGCCCGATTTTTCTACTATGTTTCACCATGTTTGCATATTTGTTTGACTATGTCTTATTTTTCCTCCAAGGTCCGCCTGTGGGAGGACATGCCCGACCTAAGCATAGTACGGATGAGCGACTCTCCAAGGTTACCATTGCATCCCTCCCCGTCGGCCCATCCTTGGCCACTTCAACTGGCCGCGCCCCGCTCGCAAAGTGTCGGCATGGCCTTCCAAGGCCCTTACATCCTTCTCGTGCGTCCTTGCTGCACGGGCTGACTGTAATTAGGGGTCACGCAGTGGCGTCGTCGTCATCGCCTTCAGGTCCGAGGTTCTGAAACATGTTCGTCGGTTCTCGGCGGCTTCCTGGCCTCGGGGTGCGTTCCAGCAGCTGCGCCTCGCCAGGAGCGTTCCAGGGTGCCCGGATAGTCCCGAACGGCCGCAGGAGAGCCGAGCTAGGACCCGAAAACCAGCAGGCAACGTCGGGGGGGTGGGACAGGCTCAGGCGGTCAACGGAGGGGGTCAAGCAGTGGCGAAGCGCCTTGGCTTGCCTCTGGGCCTGCCAGGGAGTAGTCTAAGAACCCCTCGTTGCTTGCACGACATGTTCTTGGAATCTGTCCGGCTCATGCCGTCTTGATTTAATACATTGGTTTCATGGTTGAAGAATTTGCTTAGGTTATGTAATTGAACGCCCCTGAGGGCGCAGGCACCGCCGCCCCACCATTTTGGGATCCTGGAGACTCTGTGGGAGCGGCGGCGTCTCCGCGCGCGCGAATAGGAGATATTATGGTGCTGGTGCTGATGCTTCCGCTTGGAGGCCTCGTGGGTTCTATGGAGGGGACATTGGGTTCCTCAGCGAGCTCTCTGTCGTATGACCCTGAGCCCAGTACGGCCGCAGAGAGGCTGGAGGAACTGAAAGCAGCGAGCTCTGTGTCGTATGACCCTAAGTCCAGGACGGCCGCAGAGAGGCTGGAGGAACTGAAAAAAAACCGTCGGGCTCGTCCCAGAAAGCGCGCCGAGGAGTGTCTTTCACATGACCCTGAGGCTACGACGGCTGCAGAGAGGCTGAAAACTTGTTTAGATTATTTAATCGTTTCGCTCACTTCGCCGGCCCATGTTGCCTCGCCGCTTGGGGGCCGTGTTGTGGTCTCTTGGGGGCCTCTGAGAGGCAGTGTTGAGGCCTCTTGGAGGCCGTGTTGGGGCGCCCCTTGGGACCACTTGGGGGCCTCTTGGGGGCCCCTTGGGGCCTCTTGGGGGCCTCTTGGGGGCCTCTTGGGGGCCTCTTGGACCTCCTGGGGGCCTCTTGGAGATGAAGGCTGGGCTTTTCGGTTCCTGATCCCCGTCTTGGGCCCCTCTTGGGGCCGTTTTGGGGCCCTCTTGGGCCATCTTGGGCGACTCGTCGGCTGTCTTGGGGCCATCTTCGGCCGTCTTGGGGCCCTCTAGGAAGCTTCTTGGGCCGTCTTGGGCCGGTATTGGGGGCCTCTTGCGCCGTCTTGGAGCGCTGGAAAGCCGAAAAGGCGAGAAGACCAAAATATTTCAAAAACCATAGCACTATTAACTACTGTAGCCTCTCGGGGCCCTCTTGTGGCTCTCTTGGGAGGCCTCTTGGTGGTCTCTTGTTTAGGTTATGAGAGCAGTTCTTGTTTCGTGGGAGCTCTATAGGCATGCCGGGACGGTCGGTCCCTGCTCGAAGGGGGGACAGGGTATTTTTGCTTAGCGTGTTGCTCCGCCGGTTTTGGCCCACCACGCTGCGGCGCGACACGCTATCCACTGCCCGGTCCCGAAGCGTCCACGTCCCGCAGTTTTCCGACCCCGTTGCGACACATTACTCGCTTGCACGGCATAGCGTTTCGCCGCGGCCGCCGCCGCGACACGCTATGCAAAGCTTCCTGACCGTAGGCTCGGGGGGGGGATGCATCCACCTTCAATCGCCTATGGATCGCCGATAGGGGCCCGATAGCCCACCCCGCCGAGGAGCGCGGTGTCGGTACCGGGGGCCTCTCGCCGATGCATCGGCGATGTATCGCCGATTCCAGGTTGATGGTTCCTCCCCTGTGCCAGTCCGCCACGTTCACTGCCCCGCAGGACCTCGACCTGCCCCCGAGCTGCAGCAGCAGCAGCAGCAGTAGCGGCGGCTCCGCCGACGAGCGGGAAGAATCGGAGGGCCGTGCCGGAAGCGAGGGCGGCGGCGAGGCTGGCCCGCTCCCGCCGGACAAGGAGTGCGAGAACGAGGAGGAGGAGGAGGAGGAGGAGGAGGAGGAGGAGGAGGAGGAGTAGGAGGAGGAGGAGGATTGGACAAGACAGGCTTCGAGCTGCGGGCAGACAGCCCCCCCCAGCTGGCCTCCACAGGCCCCCCGAGCAGCCCCGGCTGGTGTCCCAGCAGGCCCCACGAGCGGTCTGGGGCAGACTCAACGCCTCATTCCCGGGGCGCGGAGCGCCCCAGGGGCGTCGCCAGAGGCGGCGCCAGGGTGCTCAGACCGCCCTGGCAACTCGGGGGACCTGCTGAGGCCAGCCAGGACTACTCGGAGGGCCTATGGAGGCCAGCCGGGACTGCCTGAGGGCGGTCTGCGCGCAACCCGAAGCCTGACCAGTGGAGGCAACGGTAGTTGGCCCTCGGGAGGGGGTGCCTCGTCGCCACGGCCGGCTGCAGCTCGGAAGACTGGTGCGTTCGGACCCTGGTGCGTTTGGACCCTGCCGTGGTGTCTCGGCTCGCCCTGCTCCGAGAGGCTGGCCCGCGCCCGCCGGACGAGGAGGGCGACGAGGATCGGCCACGCGCAGAGGGGGTGTGGGGGGAGGGGGGAGGGCTCCTTGGAAGCACCACTGCTCCTTAGAAGGCGCGGGCCTCATCTATGGATGCAAGGCCGGCGCCTTCTAAGAAGCAGCCTCCTTCTAAGAAGCCCTCCCCCCTCCCCCCCCCACCCCCCTGTGCGCGCCGCCAAGAGGAGGAGGAGGACGGCGAGGAGGAGGACGGCGGGGAGGCCGCCGGCACCGGCTCGTGGCGCGGCGGCCGCGAGCCGCCAGTCTGGCAGGGAGGGAGCGGGGCCTGGGAGAACGGGCCCCTGCGGGCCCTGCGTTCTCGGGCCCCCTTCTCGGGGCCCCCTTCTCGGGGCCTCCGTTCTCGCGCCCCCGTAGGCCCTCCGTTCTCGAGCCCTCGTTCTCGGCGCGGCCCTTCTCGGGCCCCCGTGGGGCCCTCCCGCGCCTGGGGGCCGTCCGAGGACGGCTCGGCAGGGAAGCGCCCCCCAGGGTCTGGGGCCCGTTTCCCGCGGAGCGCGCTGCTCTGGTTGCGTGATCACTGGCCCCTGGCCATCAAGAACAGGCCTGCACATGTTGGCCATACACTGACGACTCTCTGTCGCTGCATGGTCAAGTATAAGCCACGTCTGCATCGCAGAGCGGGGGGAGGCTGGTAAGGGGCGTGCCACTCCTTGACAAAAGCCTTGCCCCGATTTGTGGCCAGCGCGATCGCCGCGGCGACCTCCAGAGCCGAGCCAGAGGTCTGTCTCGGGGTCGGATATCGCGCAACGATTCTCGTCCGTGGCAGGCGAGCGTTATCCCGAGGCTCACCGCCGGTGTGCATCCTCCCGCAGTAGGTTCTCCACGCCGTGTCCGTCTCCAAGTCGATCTCGAGGACCGCCGTGTCCTGGAGGGGCGCCCCTCTGCGTTGACCCTCGCACCTCCCTATCCTGCTGAAGCGCTGCTCTCCTCCTGCTCTCCCGTAGCCTTTCACATCCTCCGCCATGTCCTCCTGCTCCTCCTGCTGCTGCACTCGCTGAGGGGACAAGCTCCGAAGCGTCTGCGCGTGAACTGCGGGGCAGAGGGGGTGGGGCAAACACAAAAAACATTCATACAGCACAGCCCTCGTCCCTCACCTCCCGCTCCGCTGGTCCCAGTGTGCTGCTCCTCCTGCTCCTCCTCCTTTCCTGGGGCGTCGATGAATGGGGGGCGCTGGATGGAGGGGGGGGAAGAGAGGTGCACCTCTTGGGCCCTAAAGGCTCCCTTTTTTGGGCCCTAAAGGACCTCCTTTCCTCAGCCCTCGCTGCCCCCCCCATTTATCGTCCTCCCATTACGCGACGCCCAATTCCCATCCTCTCGAGGACCGCTGGGTCCTGGAGCGGCGCCACCTTGGAGCACATGACGTGCACCGAAGTCCTGTCGCCCCCCCCCGCCTTCCTACCCTGGCAGGAGTCCCACGGGTGGGGGGGGAGTTGGAGTGGCGGCGGCCTCCCAAATGAGGTCCGAGCAGATGGGGTCAGAAGATCGCATCGCGACGACGGCGATGCATTGGCGCCATCAGCGCTGAGAAAATCGGGCTCCACGTCGAGCCGCATCGCTGGTGCATCGGCGACTCGGCGCGATCCTCCGACCCCCTGTGGCTGGCCCGGATGGAGGGAGAGCGGAAGGGCTCCCCAAGAGGGGTCCACGAACGGACCACGGGACCACCTCCCGTCCCAAGGCGGCCCTAATGCCCACAGCAGGTCCCCAATCTGCTCCCCGATGCCACCAAGAAGGCCCCGAACGGCCCCGAAGATGCCCAAACGATGCCTCCACGAAGCCCCCGAGTAAAAGAGGCCCGGCTGGCAGGGATGGGAGGGGAATCGTGACAGGAGAGGGGGGGGATCAGGATTGAGGGGAGGGAAAGCGAGCGACGGAAAGGGGAGGGGCATGGGGAGTGACTGGGAGGGGGAAAAAAGGAAAGGCATGTCGATGATGGGGGGGGGTCTGCCATACGGTCTGTCTCGAAGGCGGGCCCTTGCAGCTGGCCACCCTACCTTCCGCCTCAGGAGCTGGCCCTGCCTCCGATGCTGGCGCGCACGCGTACGGTCGAAGCATGGCCACAAACACACGTGGATCGAGAACACGGGCCCCTTCGCCGAGAGACCGGGGCCCCCCCCGGACACACGACACACCCCAAACGCTCGACACTCCAAGACGGAACGTCCAGGCATGCAGGGCACAAGTGCGCCCCTGCAGAGCTACAGCAGAACCTGTGATCCATAGACCCATCGGTCAAGGAACCTGGGCCAGCTTCCCAGACGTTTCTTAAGCCATCCAGGGCCAGCTTTCGTCGTCAACGCTGGAGGGGGCGAACGTGCTCAAGAAACCGGGCCAGCCTTCTGGCAAGTCGGTTCAGAAACGCTGGCACATGTTTGTCGGGAGGAGGCCTCTGAATCAGATGCTCGACTGCAGTGTTGCTTCGAGCCCTCGTGCCATGTTCTGCACAGAGGGCCTCGTGTGCCCACGTACCAGTCGGGCCTGATTGGAGAGGACACGCGAGAGGACACCAGACCCTTTCGAGGGCCGCATCGACGCAGGAATGTAGACAGAGTGGGTCGCGAGCCACAGGACACAAGGGCACCCTTGATCTGGCAGGGTCGACCTACTAATAAGGGCCGACTGTAGGCACACGCAAGAGCACGAGCAACGCCGACGTCCTTCCGGCCCCCGCAGCAAGACACCATACCCCACCCTGAGGCCCAGCGCGCCACCGGCCACGCCCGCCGGCGCTGGACGACTCTCCGACGCTCGCCTGTGAAGTTGCCCAGGGCGCGCCAGCGGAGTGCCGCAGCGGTGCTGGGATGCACGAAACTGTATTCTTCTTGTGGGCTGGGCGGTAGATCGAAGACATCCCAGCGGCCTTGCTGTACGACTCAGTGAAGCACGTACGGGTCTTGGAGCTACCTCTGGCGGAGCGGGTGACCCAGAATGTGAGGCTGCTACAGGATCGAGCGGGCAGCGTGGTTGCAACGAACATCGGCTTTGTTTCTTCACTGCGAGGGGAGGTCTGGTTCTCGGGCCATAATTGTTGTTTCTGGCGGCCGTTCGGGACGATCTGGGCACCCCCCGAACGCTCTCGGCGAGGCGCAGCTGCTGCAAAACATCCCGAGGCTGGAAAACCGTGCAGAACCAACGAAATGTCGACAAAAACCGTGCGATCTCTTCCCTTCCCTCCCCCCCGAAGCGTCCAAAAACCCTGCGACTCCTTCCCCTCCCCCCCCCCCGAAGCGATCGCCTGCTGCCTCTCTTTTGAGGGATGCGGGACCGCCGGGGACGCCGCGGTGCCCAGCCGAGCACGCGCGGCCACGCGCGCGCGCGCTACCTCTTCCGCGTGCCGGGCTTCTGGGCCGCGCTGCCGGCCGCCGCCGCGGGCGCCAGGAGGGCGTGGGCCTGCTCCTCGCTCAGCCCCGCGGCCTCCTCCTCGCAGAACCGCCTCCCGGGCGCCGCGTAGTCGGGGGGCGATAGTGAAGCGGAGGAGGAGGAGGAGGAGGAGGAGGAGGAGGAGGAGAGGAGGAGGAGGAGGAGGAGGAGGAGGAGGAGGAGGAGGAGGAGGAGGAGGAGGGAGGAGGAGGAGGAGGAGGAGGAGGAGGAGGAGGAGGAGGAGGAGGAGGAGGAGGAGGAGGAGAAGGAGGACGAGGATAGAGGCCTCCTAGATGCCTGCTGGGTCCCACGGGGGCTCCTCTGGGGCCCCGAAGGCGCACGAAGGGTGCACCTTTCTTCCCTTCCACCACCCCTGATTATCGGCCCCCCCCGCTTCGCAACGTCCGAGCCTCCAGACGGCCTCGAACTCTGGGCGCTTGAACTTTTTGGACGCCCGAGATGGGTGCGGAAAGGTGGGCACGGTGCCCAGCAGCGAGAGTTGTCCAAAACCGACCGCGGTTACTATTGGGCAGGCGACGCTCGTCCCAGGTGGACAAAGTCCACATGGACCCTGACAGCAAGTCCTGCCCAGGATTGGCAGGAACTGCTGCTGGACTCCGCTCCCACTCTTCCCGCCCCCGTCCCGACCGCCCAGGACCTTCGCCAGCGCGTTGCCGCTGAGCCCCGCGATGCCGGCGGCCCTCTGGAAGGCGGGCGTGGCCAGGGACTGCAGCGCGAGGAGCGTGGCCTTCATCTCCTTTCTGGCACGCGCCACCATGGATTATAGGTGTCCGCGGACCTGGCGCGTTGGCGCCAGATCCATGGATCGGGGAAGACACCCCCGAGACCTGAGGTCCATGCCGCCCGATTTGGCCACGGTGCGCGCCGACCCCGTACGGAAGCGAGACCCGTCGCTGATCCACTCGCCTCAGCCCCTGCTTGTGGCTCCTGAATCCTTGGGCGGGGGCGCGGGCGCGTCCGCGGCGATGCCCGCAGCGCCGGGCGCGGCGACGCCCGCCGAGTTTGGCACGCCCACCGCTGCGCCAGGCGCGGCCTCCGCCGCGGCGCCCGTGGGCCCCTTCGCGGCGGGCGCGGCGCCGGTGGCCGCGGGCGACGCCGCGGGCGCCGCGGCCGCGGGCGCCGCCGCGGCCGGCGCGGGCCGCCGCCGCGGCGCCTCCGCGGCCGCGGGCCTCTGGGCGAGGGCCCTGCGCTCCTCCTCCTTGGCCTCGCGCCAGAGCTCCCAGGCCGAGGGCCCGAGGCCCTGCCCCGGGGTCCGCCCTCGGGCGCCTGCCAATCGAGCACCTGGTAAGGCTGCGGACTGCGCGCAGACGGCCCCCCGAGGTGGTCCCGGCTGGCTTTCACAGGGCCCTCGAGTAGTCCTGGGCGGCATCAACACCCTAACCCTGGCGCCGCCAGCGGTGCCCCTGGAGCACTCCGCGCCCCCCAAGGTCAGGGTGTTGAGAACGCCCCGGTCTGCTTGGGGGGTGGGGGGCCTGCTGAGGCCAGCTGGGGCTACTCGAGGGGCCTGTTGAGGCCAGCCGGGACTGCCTCGGGGGGGGGGCTGTCTGCGCGCAACCCAAAGCCTTACCAAACGAGCACGGGTCGACGAGTGGACGGACTGTTGTTTCAAGCCAGGGGCATATGCAGCACGCGTCGCCAACAACGATCACAGCAGATGGACGCGACGGGCGTGTTTGGATCCAGACTTACACGACCTACGCCCAGCGTTTCGCAGACAGGAAGGACAGAGAAAGACTTGGGTGAACGACATTGCTTCTTTTCTGCATACAGCGGCCGACGCCGACGAAGACGCACAATGGTGGGACCTGGCCCAGAACTGCACCTGGTGGACGAGTTAGGGCGCCGACCTTCTGGAACGCATGCGTTGCTTCGCCCATTCCCACAGCACTGCGTGAGCCTTCTGGCGCTCTGGCGCTCCCGCCATGCTCTTGTGGGGCCGCCCACCCACCCCCTGGGGCGTCGACTGGCGCCTCGCCTCGCCTCGTCTCGCCGTGACCCCCCCCCCTCCCTGTTGATCCACAGCGCCAGCACCCCGAGCCCTCTCGCCGAGCAGCTTCGTGGCTTCACGTGGCCTCGGGAGGTGCTGCTCAGAGGGGCCCCCGCCGGCCCGCCGAGGTGCGAAGAGGACACGGGATGCTGGCCCTTGCCACGCTACCCCCTCTAATCCCTCGCCTCTCCCTGCTCCACGCAGTCCTCGCCTCCCCTCCTTCCTCTCCGCTACCCCTCAGGTCCGCCGCCCCCTCAGTCCCACTCTGCCCCTCCACGCCCGCTTCCCTTCGGCTGGCCCCCTTCAAGCCTGGAGCTGTCCGTGGGCGATCTCGTGCTTCTCGCGGCGCTAGGCGCCAATATTGTTGCCCCAGGTGAGTTCGCCAACATCACTGACAGGCCGCGAACGGAGGAGGAGGAGGAGGAGGAGGAGGAGGAGGAAGAGCATCAACGATGTTGCAACAAACCCTCCCTCCAAGTTCCCTCTTCACAGGCCCCTACGAGGATTCACTTTCACTGAAGGAAATGCCACGTTGGAAGACAACCTTTTGAAAATCCTGAGAAACACCATTCTGGTGACTTCAACGCCGCGAATCACTATTACTGGCGCAACTTGACGATCCTGAACCTTGCCAAAACATCATTCCTGGGACATCAACACCGCGAATAAACGTAAATGTTGCGCCCCGACAATCCGACATCGTGCCAAAACACAATGCCAGGCACGTTGACCATGAGAATCCTTGAAATTTCTGTAAGACATTACAACGAATGCACGCGGCGCTAAGGCGAGAGCCACATTTCGAAAAGGAACCGCCATTTATCCATGAAGCTCTTGCAATGTTGGAAGACGTATGTGATGGCGGGAGCCACATTTGGAAAACCACCCGCCCTCCATCCGTGAAGCTGTTGCGAATCCTAGAATTCAGGATCATAAGCGGCGAGGAAGTCCCAGGCGGAACGCCCGGCCCCCCCTTGCGACCAACCGTGGGGTGCCGCGGGGAGAAGTTATGTAAAGGAAAAGGACTGAGGAGCAGGGACAGCTCACTGGCCGAAGTTCGCCCAACTTAAAAATGGAGGAGCAGGGGAGGGGCCGTTACCTTCTGCTCGCTGGTGATTTGGATGTCGCTTGAAAATTGCTTCGACATCCAGTGTTGGCGGCAGTCTGGTGTTTCCCATCCAGGCGCTCCCACTTGGGACCGTACTATCCGAAAGACGCCCAGCGACGTGCAAGAATGCTTGCGATCGGCACTGCCGATTCCCAGTCCACAAGCAGTAAGACAACACGTGATCCCCAAACAGACGTATACGTTGTATCGCGACCGAGGCCGTCGTGCTACAGTTAGAGACCATCGCAAGAGGTGAGCAAGTTGGTCTCTCGATGCTTCGTCACCGCTAACAGCCGCAACTCTACCCCCAGAGCGCAACGCAGCGACAGTCTCCGCCGACTGCCCGCCACGGACAGATGGAGCACCATGCGCTGTCCAAGATTCCCAACCCCGATGCCACAAGTACGGTAGGTTCGGGCCGTGCCGACGTGGCGACGGTCCCAGCTCGGGCGTGCAAGGTTGAATGCCGCAAGCGGCCCAGAATCGGCCAATGAGGAATGATCTGGCGAGCGAAAAGCAGCCGATCGTTCAAGGATGAACGATCCACGCGGTGTCAGAGACCAACGCCGAAGTCGTCACGACACGAATGTGCCGTGCCTCAACTGTCAGTCAGGCCTCGCCTAGCCTTCCATACCTGACCCATGGAGCCGATCACTGACGGCCTGCTGACCTCCGCCGACAGTCCAACACCAACTGGGATGCAAAAGCTAAACATGAAAAAAACGTCACCTGACAGGAGGAGGAGGAGGAGGAGGAGGAGAAGGATGAGGTAGAGGAGGGGGGAGGAAGAAGAGGGAAGGAGGAAGAAAAGCAGGAGGAGGAGGGGAGGAGGAGGAGGAGGAGGAGGAGTGGGAGGAGGAGGGGATGGGGGCTCGCTGGCATCACCCGAAGGCCGCTGATGATCAGACCGAGCGCGCACTGCGTGATCAGCGCAGGCCACATGCAGAGCTGGACACGGGGGTTCTTGTTCTACTGGTTCGTAGGCGCGCCACGGATCCGAGAAGGGGGGCGGAATTGGGAACAAGAGTGAGTGAGAGAGTGGACTGACCGAGTCTCATATGATAGTTGAGCGAGTGCACGAAGTATTCAGGAGGAGCCCTAGGAGGAGGACGTGGAGTACCCAGGTGGAGGAGGACGACGCGAATGGATGTTCGCGAATACGGCATACGCCTATATACGTTCTCTCGGCGCCCCCGCCGCGCGGTCGGCGCCCCTCTACCTGAACGCTGGCGGATGCGCGTGATTGCCCTTTAGGCGTTCATGCACATCATCTCTGTGCGGAAGGAACGGGGTGGGAGGAGGAGCAGGATGAAGGCTGGAGGTGGAAGCAGAGGGAGGAGGGCGGAAAGACAGGGGGAGGGAGGCATGAGGGAGAACTACAAGAGGGAAGTCGGAACAGGGAGGGTGGAGGAGCACGCTACCGAGGCCAGTGTACTTTCAGGCTGAGTCGGACACTTTCGTCGCTGGAGCTCTTGCGTGCGAACGGCACGGGCCCCGGGCAGCAAGGGAAATCTAGGCACCGCCCGCGAATGGTTCGGTTCCAAGCCCATCATATCAGATGTTAGCCAGCGCGGGGTCCAAGCAGTGTGCTTCTAGCTAAAAGCGTTGTACAATCTAGGAGGAGTTATCTGTAGTGATATAGGTGTGGTGCAATATCTGTTGCGCAACGATTGTGCAACATACGTTGCGCAATACATGTAGTGCAATCGATTTGTTGTTCTCCACCCAGCCGACCTTGAAGTTGTCAACTCCACTGCCCGCGAAATCATCCCACCCACCTGCCCGCAACTTGGTTTGCAAACCCCATGCGGCGACGATTGCGATGACTGCTCGGCGCTGGCTGCCACGTCGCTGCGGCCGCGCTAGCGCGCGCAGGCTCGCGCGTTGAGCTGCCAGCTAGTCTGGCGCGACCAACGCGGCCGCGGTGGCGCTGACCGCTGGGGACTTCCAGCGCGTCTCGCAGGCCGCGCTGGCGCGCGGGTACTTCAGTGCAAATCGGTGATTCGGGCGGCCGCGGTATCATGGCGACGTCGGCAACGGCAAACACGATGATGATAGTGGCGATGCTAGTGGAGATGGTAGCAATGACGACGGCAAGGCCAATGACGGTGCCGATGCTGATCACCCCGGTGACGGTGATGGTGTCCACGAATGGGCGATGAAGGTCGTGAAAAGGATTTCGACATGCGCGCGCGGCCGACGGGCGCGAGTGGCCCACATGGTATCAGTTGACAAAAATCGCCCCCACCCTCCCCGAGCGCGCGCAATGGCCTGCGCGCGCGAAGGGCCCGCTTGGTCACATGCGAAGAAATGTTTAAGGGTCATTAGAGGAAAGCGCATGGACCCCAAGAGATTCCAAGAGCGCCCGCACCTACCTTTTTGTTACAAAAGCACGTTGCAAACCCATGTGGTTGATTTGTCTGCGGAAACCGCGATATTATCGTCACTGCGAGACCGAAGGTGTTGAAGGATGCCGGCATGCGCGAGACGACGCACGCGTGTGTGCACATCGTGTCATGTGTTGCAGGGGGTCCTTGTAATTTGATGGAGTTTGATCAACGAGTGCGTGTGGATTGTATCATTAGACAACAAAGGAGGGTCGATACCGGCTTGGCTGCGATGATATGGCCTGAGAGTTCGAATGAACGATTGGGCAGAAGCATATACGCATTGGACATCCCTCGAGGGAATTGGTAACCCCAGCCTCTACGGGGGTGATCGATCCCAGCTTTTTTGTTCGGAGATACGGTGTGCAATACATGTTGGGCAATGTTCGTTGTGCAATATACGTGGTGCAATTTATGCGGTGCAAGATAGGTGAGGCAAAATCTGTTGTACAATCTGCGTGGTGCACTCCACGCGGGGCAATCTATGCGGTGCCATCTATGCTGGGTTATCTTAGCGGCGACGGGGCGGCGACGAGGCGGCGACAGCGACACGAAGCCGCCAGACGACGAGGCGGCGACGAGGCGGCGACGGGGCGGCGACGGCGAGCACAGAGCCGTTAGACCGCCAGCCAGGCCCAGACAACGGGCGGCGATGAGGCAGCGACGGGTCGTCGAGCACGGAACCGCCAGACCGAGATTCAGGGCCAGTGCTTCAGAAGAGAGCTAAGAACCCAAAAGTGCAAGCGCTGTTTGGGAAATGCAGTTCTCGAGACGGAGATTCGATATCGCTTCCCAAAGTTATCGATATGTTTACTGTGGCCAGTGGAAGACAGAGCCCTAATACCTGATCGATACCACTGGGTTTACTACTGGTCTTTCCCGCGAGTTTGGGACAGTCTCGAGTGAATTTGACTGCTCAAGGAAAGAAACTTCAGTACCTCAATTCCAGGAAGAGACAGCTGCACGTGCTCGACACCACTGCTGCTTTCGAGCGCTGGGAGATCCCCGCGCCTTGAGGGAACCGCGACCCAGGCGCAAGTCTGTGGAGGGCAGCCGCAGCACAGCCAGCGCACACTACGCCACCATGCGGAGTCTTAAGATTGGTGGACTACTTCTGCGCCGTTAGATTATTCGCGCGGTGTTCGTGCAAGCGAGGTACGGGTCCCACCGCATGGGCCCAGCATTCCGAGGCACTTGTCGTACGCTTTAGGCGCTCCATGCTGCAGACACGTGGGGCGGTGTCCGCCAGATGCCCCGAAGTTGACGCGATACTGGCTGAGGAAGATCTGCGTCGCACCGCGTATAAGTTGAACTGGCGAGATTGATGCGGCAAGTTTAGCACAGTGGGTCGCACACAACATGTATGCTACCTTCGCGAACCAGGTAGATGTGCAAGAAGAGCATCGCCAAACATTCACACCTTGAGGCCGGAGAGAGTGCAAGCGTGAATCTGTAGACGGAGATGCGTGTCGTAAGAGGGCCCGCGAACACGACCTTCACGACTGCCCATTTCATCACAAGGCTGTCGACTTGGATGGGGAGCTGGACAGGGAGCACCGAGAGCACTGTTCGACGACCCGCCTCCATATTTGACAGCCAGTCAGCGCACTGCATACCAAAAGAGTCGTGCACCATTGTTGTGCGTCGTTGCGACACAGTCAAGTGTTTACTCCAGTATGTGTGGTGTGCCATCTGTATGCGCACACATATGTCGCATTCACATACAAATACATGCGTACAGGCACACATGTATTACAGTATTACACTACAACATGTTTGGGCACCCCTTCGTCAGCAGCCACGTCTGATCACATGGCGCTGGCACCACGGTAACATGCTGGTGGATTGATGAAGTACACGGTTGGCATCATCACCGATTGTCTCAATAAGTGGGTTTATCATTTTCATGATCGAACTGAGTTCACTGCCATTTTCCTTGCGACGTCCGACGGCGGCGCGCAAAACTATGATTGATCGGCCGCGGGCTGCGCAGTGGCGGCTAGCAAAGACGCTGGTAGATTTGTCTCCGTCATATAGAGCGAACGCGATATAGTTCCACCTAGGGTTTCAATGCAGAGGCTTTGCTATTTCAGGTTCGCGCGCGGTTCGTGAGTTGGTCGCCCGCTGCGAAGACGGGCTATGTGGTCAGCGCCCGAGAAATCTAGTCGGTTGGCCATCGGGCATCTCGTCGCTTCTCTACGTGGGAGTTGTTGAGCGGGTCGGCGTCAGGGGTGTCAGGACAGGTCCGTAAGCTGAAGGCGGCCTGACCGCACGCTGGGGACCCGTGATGCGGAAAGGAGGAGAAGAAGGCAGAGCAGCAGAGAGGATGAGGAGGAGGAGGAGGAGGGAAGGGAGAGGAGGCTGCAGTGGGAGGGAAAGGGCAGGGGGGCAACGGAGAAGGGGGGAAAGAGAACAGTGAGGACGGTGGAGTGGGAGGAGTGGGCAGGGGGAGCGCGGGGCGGAACGAGGGAGGGGCACAGAAAGAGAAAGAAAGAAGGGAGGCGGAGGGGGGGAAAGAGGGCGGACAGGGGAAGGGGGGAAGAGGCAATGGGGAAGTGGGGTAACATCGACAGGGGAAAGGTGCAGGGGAATGGTGGAACAGGTGAAGGGGGAAGGGGGAACGAGCCTTGAGAAAGGACGAAGTGGAGGGTGAAGGGGGAAACGAGGAAGGGGCAAGGGAGAGGGCGAAAGGAGCGCGAAGGTGGAGGGGGCAGGGAAGGGGAGAGAGGCAATGGGAAAAGCGAAAGGGTGAAGCGGCAGGAAGGTGGAGAGGGGAGGGGGGAATGAGGAGAAGGAATAAGGGGGAAATGAAGGGGGGGAGAAGGAATAAGGGGAGAAGGAAGGGGAGGGGAGAAGGAATAAGGGGAGGGGAGGGGGGGGAGAGGGAATAAGGAGAAAGGTTTCAGGGCCACAACCTTCTCATGATAAAGGTCTGGGAGGAGGTGGTTGCGAGGGTGAGCGCGGTTGGGTGGGTGATGGCGTGCGTCATGCGTGGAGTTTATGTTTTGGCGGGGTTGGATTCTGCATGCAGGAAGTGCCCAAGTCAGCCTGGCACTAACGATCTAAGGCAGCAGCAGTCGTGTGCCTTGACAGGGTTTTGCCCCAGCCGGGCCAAGCAATACAAGGGATGGACGAGCTCTGACGGAAGGAGTCTCACTCCAGTTGACTTCCCCAGCTTGATACGGGCCTCAAGAAAGGCAGTCTTGGTTTTTGGGGAGAGCGAACCAGACGTTTTGATGGTTTGTCGGGCCCACTTGGGGCGAACGTTGGGATGCCCCACAGCTCCTTTCCATGTTCGGAGTCCGCGGTCCCGCCAGCCAGATCGACACCCAAGGAGGCAGTCAAGGCTAGCCGTGCGTTGCCTGTTAGGGGAGTTCGGCACTGACGAACTCGTCCGATGTGCATCTTATAACATTCGTTGAGAAAGGAATCCGAGAAACACTAGGAGGGCGAAGAGGGAATGACTGGGCAAGGGGAACTGGGAAGTGCGATCGGGGAGGGGGCACGAGGAAAGGAGACTGGGGAAAGGGTTGGGGGGAACAGGAGCGGGAAGGGGATTGGGGCGTGAGGGGGGCAACTAGATGAGCAAAATAGGAAGGTGGAGAAAGAGGGGAGGGGGGAGGAAGAAGAGCACGAGGAGCAGGACGAGGAGGAAAGCAGTGAGAGGGGGAGGGGCAGCAAAGGGACGGAAATGAACACGAGGCGCGGGCCAGGAGGAGACGAAGGAGTGCGGGCGGAGAGGCTGGGTGCAGGTGGCGGGGGACAGTCCAGCGGTTGTGCTTAGAAGTCTGGGAACGCAGTAGTACGAGTCGTTGGCAGGTCGGGCGTGCCAATGGTGTCGACATCGACGTCGAAGCTACAGAGACACTTGTTGTGCATAACGTTTCAAGGTGGAGGGGGAATGTGGGTCATCACCATTTGATAAAGGTGAACCAGCGGCACAGGATTGTGTCATTCCGCCGCCCCCCAGCGGAGCGATTTCGTGGCGATGCCGTGTGCCAGACAGAAAGCCACTGCCATTCTGTAGCAATCTTGGTAGCCAGCTAGAGGCCTTCCTGGCAATATTGGGGCCGTCGGTGCGCTTTGGGGGATCATGTGGTCACTCTGGGGGGTCTCAGGGCCGTCTGGGGCGTCGAGGCGTTGTCTTCGAGCGATCTTGAGCCATCCGGGAGACGTCCTGGGGCCGTCTTGGAGGCCAGGTGGGTTCCCCGAGGGAATCTTGGCGCCATAGTCAGCGAGACTCTCCTGAAGACCTGAGCTGTCTGAGGAACTCTTGGGGCCTCGTGGACCCTCTCAGAGGCCTCTGGAGATCATCATGCGGCCATCTTGAGCATCGAAGGGGGAACGACCAGAAACATAAAAGAACGCTGCAGAATCTTGACGATTGTTGTATTTGGGGGGCCTTCCGCCAGGCCACCTTGGAGCCCCTTGGGCTCCTCGAGGCCAGACGGCAGCCGCCGTGAACGTCATCGCGTTCTATCTTCGGCCATCTCGGACGATCTACTTGGCGAGCAGTTTGGGGAGCCCCTGGGGAGGGCCCAGCCTGGTCGATGATGTCAAGAGGCACCACCTGAAATTGGGTTATGGATCTCCAGAGGGGCGAGAAAACGGGAGCTCAGGGGCCAGGAAACCAAGACATTGCAAGTCAGGGTTTTCGCCAGATCGAGCGGGAGCACAAGGAGGATGGTTAAGGTTTTGGCCCGCAGCTTTAGTTTTCTCGGGCGTGCCAACGTCCTGGTTCAGCGAAGTCCACGTTCACGGGGCCTTGAGGAATGGAGACAGTCAATCATCTCACACGCTGCCCCACTCCTGGCAAGCATCGGCCGTACCAAGTAGCCCGACCTTGCTCCCGAAGTCCTTTACCACAGGAATCTCTGCGGGGTAGAATACGCTTGGGGCGTTGGTTGAGGAATATCGTATATCCATGAGGCTTGAGACCGTGGGTGATGCATCTTCTGACGAGGGCGGCGGTGACATCCATGGCCAATCAATTTTGCTGTGTTGCATTTTGCTTCGTTGAAGTTTGCTGTGATGCATGTTGCTGTGTTGGCTGCATTTTTTTTTGCTGCACCATCAGAGTTGTCGCAATATTTGGGCCCCGATTGGAGTTCTACTGGCTTCCAGACCCTGGGTTCATTGTCGAGTGGTTCCTTATCCAAAGCCCCCGTTGTAGTCATCTCACGGCCAGGCCGACTGTTCAGCAACGCGGACTTCTACGGCTTCAGCGGCAACGGAGAGCGGGGGGCCGCCGGGCGGGAGCGCAGGGGGCGGGGGGGCCCGTGCGAGGTTCGCAGTGGTGGGCCCGGCCCCCAGCTGGGCAGCCGGGGCCAGCAGCAGTCGAAGGAGAGCCCGCCATAAAACGACGCGAAGATCGGGACAAAATCGGATCGGGATAACTCGAAATCTCTGAGACTCGACAGGTTTGGAGGATGTACTGGGCGCCGCGGCCGCTCCAGGGCGTTCCGGAACGCTCTGAGAGCGCTCCGGAACGCTCTGGAGCGATTTATCCCGATGCCAGCCCTGTCTTACGCCAGGTTCGAGAGGGTGGGCCTGCGAAGGTGGGACAATTCTGTCGGAGGTCGGGCGGTGAGGCCGAGATGAGACGGAGTGCCCTCGACAGGAAATTCGGTTTCGGGCTCGGCTCGTGCCGTGCACGCGGGCGGGGCGGCGCCGCGCAGGAGCCAAGGCGCGCGAGGCTCTACGCGCGGGCTCGCCGATCTGCACGTCGGTTCCATCGTCGTTCCTGGTTTGCTCGGAGCCGACGTGCACAAGTGTCTGGGGTTCGCGTCACGTCGTGCTGAGTCAAAGCAGTCACGTCGTGCTGAGACAAAGCAGGAGAATTGACCTTGTCACTTCTGGGGCCAAGTCGGTCAGATGATCTACCCCCACCTCCCAGGAGCCGCTTCGAGTCGATCGATCTTGTTCGATCCCGCTCATACCGAATATGCAACCCTGCCGATACGATGTGTTTTTTGATTGTCCAATGTTTTTCGACACGGCTTGCTGGGAGCCGATGTTCTGTCTCGGACGAATCGAGTCCGTGAGATTCCGATATGTTCCCTTTGGCCACCGGTTCGAATCGACCCGATTTCGTTTCGCCTTTTCTTTTGCGCGATTTCTTTATTGGCGCGTGGGTTGACCGCGTCTTCCACTGAGAAAGAAACTTCTCCCCGCATCTTCCGTACTGCCCTCCCCCCTCAGCCCACGAAGATCATCAGCGCTTCGTCAGGACGGGGGGAAGGGCTAGATGGGGGAAGGCGAGGGAGAGATGGGAGAGCGGGAGGGGGGGGGGGGGGGGCCAGAGGCGGTGCCCGGAGAAGGCGCTCGCAGGGGGGGGGGGGGGGCGGCAGGAGGGGGGGCCCAGCCCGCAGGGGGGGGGGGCCGCAGGGGGAGCCCGCAGGGGAGGCCCCGAGGAAGGGGGCCCCTCAGGGGGAGCGGCCCGGAGGGCGAGCCCCCCTCGCGCCAGGCCCTCGTGGGCGCCGCCAGCTCTTCGCTGGAACTTTCCAGCGCAGAGGCGCCAGCGACGTTCGGCATGCTGTCTGGGCGTCCCAGGAAGGATCTTGCCTTCGAGGGATGGAGAAGTTGGCAGCTCTTCCTCGGCGGGAGGCGGCGGAAGTGAAGCGGCGGCGAGTCCGTCGGCGGAAGCCAGCGACAGCAAACATCGGCATTCCAAGAGGTGTGGGATGCAGAGCTACCAGCATGAGCCAGCGGAGCGGCTGGAGGACACTACAACAACCCGCAGCCGATCTGGGAGAAGTGGCTTCCGTTTGAGCACCTCTTCTACCAGGCGTGCGCTCTGTTAGTCGAAGTGAGTTTCCATGGGCGGGCTGTCTGCACGGGTCTGTGCCTTTGTTCTGCGGCACGCGTGAGTTCCTCCGGATCCGGAACCGGTGGCGTGTGGCCTCTCGTACGGCTTCCCGTAAGGTCCCCGTTTTGGTCTCCCAGATGGTCTCCTTCACGGTCTCCCGTATGGTTCTCCCTGGTGGTCTCCCGCATGGTATTTCGTATGGTCCCCCGGTTGGTTTTTTGGCAAGGTCTTCCGTATGATCTCCCGTGTGGTCTTTGATGTGGTCTCCCGGAAGGTTTCCAGTATGGTCGCCCGTATGACCTCTCGTGTGGTCTCCAGTGTAGTCTCTCATGTGGTGTCCCCCGTTCTCGCCCGTATGATCTCTCATGTGGTCTCCCAAGTGGTTTGCCGCACGTTCTCTCGCAGTTTCTCCCGCATGGTCTCCCGTATGTTGTCCCATATGGTCTCCCGTATGGTACACCGCTTGGTCTCCCGGGTGATCTCCCCTAGGCTATCCCGTATGGTTTCCCTCATGGTCTCCCGTATGGTCACCCGTATGTTCTGCCGTCTGGTCTTCTGTTGTACAGTACAGTACAATGATGGTTTTACTATTGGATTATGTTGTTCAGGGTATTAGGCCGCCAGGGTGTAATTAGGTTTGGACCTCTAGTGTCTGACATATCGATATGGTGGATGGTTGTTGTGATGCTGTGCTTTTGTCCAGACCTGTTTCACATTCTTATTATTATTATCATTGGTTGCATTGTCAAGTCATCGTCTCTTCTACCATGACCGTCCGATTCGCCCATCTCCTCATCGTGTTTCAGTTAATACGATCCACCTCGGTATTAGTTGTCGCATTCCATATGTTACTTCTGCTTGCCCTGGCAACGAATGCATCTGGATGCAGGCCTAGCGATTGAACGAAGTTGAAGCACAACAATTCCAGGCAAGACATGCGGCGACACCCTGATCAAATTCACAGGGTCTTCAAGATATTGCATGTAGTTGTTTGTGCCCCTCTCGTAGGAATTATCTCACGTACCGATCTTGCCAAGAGGGACTGATCGCCAACGAGAGAACCATGCGCCGCCGCAACAGGTTAACCAAGTGGCCCGCCATTGAGTTCTACAAGAGTACTACCTTGAGATGGAGCGAGGCGATGACACAAGCTTGATGGATCAAAAGGAAGCGTTTGGGAATGAAGCGAGGGAGGCACAGAGTGGACTCGTGGGAGGTCAGGCGGGCTGGACTTGATCTTGAAGGTCGGAGACCGTCAGAGCGGGGTGTTGGTGGGCATTGCGTTATTCCGCCGCTTGTCTGGAGTTAGTGGGTTCCCTTTCTCTTGGACTCGTCTGCGGGATAGGTTGGCTTTTGGTGGGGATTGTTCGATCCGCGCAATCGCGACACGCCATTCCCACGGCCGTTGCATAATCCCATGAGGTTGTGACCATAGAGAAGCAAGATTAGCAGTTGCCGCTCGCGTGGACATGTCGGTTCTCATCTAGATGCTCTACCAAATGAGCCCAGGCTGGTGTAGGATCCTCCACACACCCTAGACTTCATCAGTCTCCGCAGTGCTGAGGAGCAGTGTTGAGGAGACAGAAGCCGTTTTCCTTAGCTGGTATCGTCAACGTGTTTCAAACAACTAAGTATCATAGTCGTTTGGTTCGGACCTCGGGCGTGCGCAGATTTGCTCAACCACCTAAGCCATGCACATCCCTCAGTCTCCAGGTGGGTCTCATGAATATGGCTGGCATGTTCCGTTCCGCTTCCCTGCCTACGGCAAGACAGGTAGATCGCACTGCAAGGGCGGATTGAACTCCGATGCGTGCGCACATCACCACTACACGTACGATGTGGCGTTTCTCCCCTCAGCCCCCAGGGGTCGGCTTACTGCTGGCTGGCGCGGTTCCCCCTCCCTCGTTCAATGACGCGGCTGCCACCCCGCTGGTGCAGATCCACTCCCCCAGGCTCCCTCGCCCGCCCTCAGTGACCTCCCCGCGGCCGCCCTCTTCCCCCGCATCTTTGGTGCCGATCTGCCGTTCCGCAACCCGACCCAGGCCCCCACGGGCTGCGCGACCGCCAGCGCCGCGACAAAGACATACCACAATGGCCGAGCACGCCCGTCGGCGCTCGGCACAGGATCGTCTACCTACGCGCACCCCGCACCGCCAAAGCGCGCAAGTCCTGGGGCACTCGGCGCGCCCCGAGGGAGGCGTGCGCGGGGCGCACATATGGAAAGGCACGCCCCGGCCTCTAGTGCAGCCGATCCCGAGTTCCCGCTCCATCCTTCTCACGCAGGGAGGAGGACGGGGGGAGGAGGATCAGCACCAGCACCAGCACCAGCAGGGGGAGAGCAGGGAGGAGAGAGGAGGAGAATGAGAGAGGAGGAGGGGAGGGGGAAGAGAATGGTGATGAGGAGGAGCAAAGGGGGAAGGACCGAGAAGGAGGAGCACGAGAGGAGCGAAAGGATATGGCGGGCAACGAGGGAAATAGGAGGAAGGGGAATGAAGAGGGAGTAGTCCAGGGGAGAGGGAAGGAGGAGGAGGGGGAGGAGGGGGAGGAGGAGGAGGAGGAGGAGGAGGAGGAGGAGGAGGAGGAGGAGGAGCAGGAGGAGGAGGAGGAGGAGGATGGCTCCTCCGTCGGACGCGCGGAGGGCCGCGGGGTACCTCCCTGGGCTTCGCGGGCAGTGCAGGGGCGCTCTACAGACAAAACGCTGCAGCAAGGACCGTGTTAAGATGTTGAGTTCTCGAGGGGCTCTGGCTCTGAAGCCGCACCGTACACCTAGCTCGGAAACCCCACTCGTGGCCGAGGCTCGCCATGGCCCAGAAAGTGTCCCTCGTTCCTTGTCTGGGGTTCCGCATGGCAGCACGATGACTGCACGCCGCAGAGGTGTGAGTCGCCCCCGCCCCCACCGCCGGCTTTCGGTTCCGAAGAAGGGCCTATCAGGATCTCAAGGGAACGGCCGTCTCCACAGGATTGAAATTCGCCGAATGACTCCTTCGAAGTATTTGGTCGATTTGCCTTCCTCCGGATGGTTCTCGATCAGGCTTGACAGCAGATGTCGCAAAGCATCCCGTCCGATAGGACTTGCATTTCTGGGGGAACGTGGTGCCCCCATTTATTTCTCCTCGTCGTGAAAGAATCACGAAGGGGGGTGACAGTTCTCGGTTTCTAGGGGCCCGCATCGGGCCCCAGCATTGTCAAAAAGGGAACGGGTCTGGACCTTTGGGGGTCCACGTTGTGATAAAAACACGACGTCGGACGTCTGAGCCCGTCGATGCCAAGGACTCGAGCTAAAAAAGACTTTAGCGTTGGAGCCTGCTCACTCTGCTGAGCGCTGGTCGATTGTGAGCAATTGGTTGAGTCAACTCGCCTGGGGATGGGCTAGAGTAGTTACCTCAACGCCTTAATCATGTAGGCGTTGCGCTGGAGAGACGGGTGGAGTATCTCTGTCAAACAGCATTTTCATAGTGTCGGTTCCAGTCTAGAGCGGGATCAGGATCACGTGAAGATGTATTAAACATGTTGGTGCATGGGGTTGTGATGTTTTGGTGACCCTCTCCTACAGACGATTGTCATACACAACGCAGGCTCAAAGGCATATGACCTTGATGCAACCACGCACTTCTTTATGCGACTGGAATGTCACACAGGCTTGTCTCATTGAGTGTTCAATCTCGTGCGACAGAATAGATACATTATGCAATATGTTGAACAACAGGGCAACTTGCATTGCTGCGTGCGCCACCCCAGGAATGGATACACATGACGCGCTGTGCAACACCATCCCGACGGATATGTGCGTACGGGTTTCCTGGCAAGGCCGTGCTCGTGCATTGCAATTCGTTTGAACCCCCCATTGACATTGAGCATGTTCTTCGCAATGCCGTCAATTGAGATTGGCATGACGATGTGGCGTCTCTCATGTTTCTGTCACGCAGGGGGTCCAGGACAAGGGCGACTGGCTTGTGGTAGGTCATACTCTTTACAACGTGCCAAATTTACAGCTATCCCAGCAAATTCCTCTCAACATCAGCGTCCGCCTGTGCAGTTGTTGAACGATGTCGCTATGTATTTGCATCTCGACTCTCCATCGCTCTCACCCTCCACCTATGCATAAACACATTGTGATCAATCGTTTGCTCTACGCGACCAGCTGCATATGTTTCGTTGTGTAGTGCACGGGTATATGTTCTTGAGTTGACGAATGCATCATTGTTGATTGTCCCCCGCTTGAGCTGTTGGAAGCTCGAACCGATTCGGCTCGCGATGCGTACCTCGATGGTCCAGGAAAGAGGCCAGTGCGAACCGAGACCGAAGAGCGGCCCAGATTTTGTGCATCTTGATTTCTTTACGTATTTTGATTACTATTCGGCCCAGCTCCCAACCTATTGTTAACGCCAATTCAGTCTCCGTGCAGGGATTGGTTCGCATCTGAGGTTTATTATATTTACCAGGCCGCTGCATTGTAGCCATATTGTACTGGCTGGTCGACACGTGGCCCACGCCATCAGATTGCGCGCTAGAGTTTGAGTGCAGGCTCCGCTCTAGTGAAGTATTTGTTTATTTTCCAATGCACTGCGCATATACACTGCTTACCAGTGTAGCTTTTGTATACTTGGGCATTATAATTCGTTTACCAAAGCATGTCCCTTGTCGTTCGCAAGAGTTTCTGCAAGTGTTCTACAAGTTCCATTAGCACTGGAATACATGACGGGTGTAACGAGCAGCGGATATCGTGGACCATACGAACACACACACACACGGAGGACGCGCATCGGTTTTGCCAGGTTCTGAGGGACGGTGGTGAATCGGCAGAGGTTGCACCCATGTGGGTCGATTCTGAAAGCGTCTCCAGTGACCAGAAAGCAAGCGGTGGGCCAGCCAACGGTATACAAGCTACCAGCGATGCTTCAATGCCCAACCAACCAGGCCACATGTTGTAATTAGTGGGCATGCGCCAAGTAGGATGATGATATGGGAAAGCCATGAGAACGCATCACACGAAAAGCAGCGTGAATTCCGACCATGATGCATGATCAGATGGTCGGCAAAGTGGGTTTCACACCGCAGTGTTTACGCAATCAACTGGTTGAACGTACACACTAAGGAGGCAATGCCAGCGCCCCTGCTGCGAAACTATGCGCAGGCCGCGCGCCAAAAATATCAAATCACTAAAGCAGGGAAACACGCGTGGTGGAACCTAATCTGCATAGTACAGCTACCTCGTTGGCTTGGTTTCCCCCGGGATTGGCCATAGTCATCGCTCAGTTCTTGGTGCATTATTAACGCAGGGCGAGGCCAATATCTGGCCAAGATGCGCGACAGGAAGACCATGTTGTAATCACACGCCGCGAGCGGGGCCACCAGCAGAAGGGGGAGGTGGGCAGCACCTGCGGGCCGAAGCCATCCGACACCGCACATGTAATGCCCAAGCGGCGAGCACGCCCCGCGTACTCTGCGAGGGCAGACTACCTTGAGCCTCGTCCGACTGCCTCCCCCTCGGTTTCGGCGTCGTTTTCATCGTTCTCGTCACTCGATACTCTCTCTCTCCCTCTCTCCTGCCTCGCCCCTGCCTCGGCCCCCCCCCTCGTCCAGCTTGCTCGTCCTTCCCCATTGTCCATTCCCTTTCGTGTCCGGTCCCCCTGCGGCGTGCTCGAACGTGTAGATGTTGTTTCCCCCCCGTCCTGTCTCCTCCATGGAGCTCCAGAGGTTGTATCAGATAGAGCGTCAGAACCGCATAACTGCCACATGCTGCGCTGACGATTACGCCAGAGGTTGTGCCGTGGTTTGCGCTTCATGTTTCACTGTAGGTTGAAACAGATAATGCGCCACAGGTTGCGACGGCTGTTGCTCCAGTTCCCCCGCCGCCCTCCTCCACCGAGCTCCACTGGTTGCACCAACAGCTGCATCAGAGGCTGCACCATTGATTGTGCCATGGATTGCTCCAAAGGTTGTGCCATCTTCAGCGCCAAAAGTTGCACCGTGGGAAGCTGATTGGTTGCGCTGTATGTTGCGCCCGCGGCCGCCACAGGTTGTAACACGCATGATCCTGGTTGCGCCACAGGTTGCGCCCTCGGCCACCGAAGCCATCTGCTGCGCCCTCGGCCGCGGAGGCCTCAACGTCTGCGCGACCACTTCGGTCCGGCCATCCACTTCCCGGAAACGTTGAGGCCCAAGACGAAGCTGAATCGGTGTGAAAATGTCCTGCTCTGCGCGGCAAGCCATGCGTCTGTTGTGGTTGAGACGCGGGTGTGCCGAACCATAAAAAGCCCATGGGGTTGCAGTAATGTCCTTTTCTTCTGGCACTCAAGCTGGAGACCCTGGCGATTAGCAGCCTGACGCATTACGGAAATATCAAAATTGGTTGGTCAAGAATCTAACCGCTTATGTTTGATGGTCAGGCTGCAAGTCAGCAGAGAACGCTTGCAAAACGAAAAAAACGAATTTGACGACGGTCCCGTCGGCCACGATTTGTCAAGGAGGTGATGGCGGAAATTACACCAATGAAGTATTCGAGGAGGCAGTTGTGTGCAAGTTCTGCTTGCGGTGCGGTACAGTCACGGTCATGCAGCAAAGGCGCCGTGAGATCCATCATTAAAGCAACATGGGCAAGCTACGCGGGCGATCGAGCAACGAGTGAGGTGTGGGCACGCCGCGTGCAAGTTCTGATTGGGCAATCGGTTTGGTAAGTGGATGTAGTCGAGAAAGACCGTGGCGGAGAGACTCTCGCGCCAGAGACGGATTGCTGTGACAGGCAAGGGGAGATACACAGGTTGCACGTGCATGCTATTACAGACCGAGCACAGGGAAATCGCCCAATGCGGTGGTATCCCCGCTGTGTGTGCACTGGGCTACTTCTTATTTGGGTCGGCTTGGTTCGTCGCTGCATTATTTTTCAGGTGCCGCTCCGAAGCGAGCAGGCACCTTACAAGCTTCTGTTGTGAAAGAAGTTGTAAGGGATAGCATAGGGCAGCACATCGGTCAGAGCCAGTAGGAGGGCGCAGCCTGCGTACTTGCACCTGGCACGAAGGGTTTGCGTGCGCGCCGGGAGTCAAAGTTAGTTGGTGTCTATGTCGTTGTAATGTTGTTTTGGAAATTGTATCTGGCAATGCCATTTCCGCATGCCCGTCTTGTTGACATAAATGTTGTTGATTGCGTTGATTGGGGTGTTGCTCGGGTCAGATTGCTTTGCATGTGTTTTCCTCGCTTTGTTATCCCGATGCTGGTTACATGTCAACATGACCTGCCACCGCGCGCTCCTGTTCCACGTTGCAGCATGCCTGTTCAGCATGCCCATGGCTTCTCGCGCATGCCGACGCTCTGCAGAAGGTTCGGTCCAGGCTCAGGCTTGCTCGCATGGTGCGGCAGAGGAGGAAGCACACGCATTAAAATTTGAAGCTTGCAGGCAGCAGGATTTCGCGGTGGCCTCGCTTCCAGTCGGGATTCTGTGCAGCACTCTTGGCATGTCGTCGGGCACAGCACACACCAATGCATATGGGAGTTGTAAGTGGTGTGCGGCGCTCTGTATCCACGCGCACGGCAGGCAGCCACGATAACCTTGGGTCAGCGCAGGAGCTCCAGCCAAACACTCGGGTCAAACAATCGTACGCACATGCGATTGTGAATAGATTCGGATGCCCGACGATTGGCATCCGCTCGGTACTCATACCCCATTACGTCCCGCTGCCTCCCTCTAGATCTATCTGCTTGTGGAAATATAAACAGATCTATGTAAATCCATACGCCCGCACACGTAAACATATATGTATGTGTATATATATAGTTGTGTATACACGTGTGTGTGTGTGTGTCCGCGCGTTCGTTTAATTGTCTCTCTTTTTCTCTCTCTCTCTCTCTCTCTCTCTCTCTGTCTCTCGCTTTATTTCTCTCTCTCTCTCTCTCTCCCTCTTTCGTTTCCTCTCTCTCTCTCTCTCTCTCTCTCTCTCTCTCTCTCTCTCTCTCTCAATATATTGATATGTGTGTGCGCGTGCGGGTGCGTGTGCGCGTGCGCGTGCGCTTGCAAGCGTGCAAGCGTGCGTGCGTGTGTGTGTGTGTTTGTGTGTTGTGCGTGTGTGTGTGTGTGTGTGTCATGTATCCTTCACGTTCCTCTCCCTCTCTCTCCCTCTTGGTTGTTTAATTATCTCGCTCTCTCTCTCTCTCTCTCTCTATCAGTGTGTATGTGTTCTCTGTCTGTTGCGCCCTCTGCCGCTGGCCTCCCAGGCGGAAGGCCATCCTGAGAGGATACATTGTGAGACAGCGTAGGCAGTGGAAGAGCTTGCTCAGCGACATACCGGGGCAGTTGGGAGCCCCCTTCAGGTTATCTCTATGCCATATTGGGGCTACGGCGGGGGCGTTCGTTGAGGAATGTGCCCAGGAGGCGTCAGACCCTGGAGGGGTCCTTATCTGATGAGGGTGGCGTTGATGTCCATGGTCAAGCCTTAGGTGCTGCCCCACTGGCTTCCATACCCTGGGTTCCTTGCCTGATGGTTCCTTATCCAATGCCTTCACAGTCCGTAGCCATTCTGACTCAAGGCAATGAACCGTCCCGACGACCGCGAGTCTTTCGGGGCGACTAAGCGCGAGGGAGGTTTTGCTTTGAGGCTACCTTCCTTTCCAACAAGTGTCTGCTGCCACTGCAGCACCCTGGACCTGCGGGTCACGGCTTCTTCTGTGTCGGCGGGTCCGCCCCCGTCGGCACCTGCCTGCTGCACGCCCGCGGCTGAGCAGCGCGCCCGCCCGTTCCGGCGATGGGGCCGAAGGCCGAGCCTGGCTTTGTCGTGTGCACGGGCTGCCGTTTCCGCTGGAACTTCCGCAGGAATGCGAAGTGCTGGCTGTGCGGGATCGGGCTGGAGCTGGCGCCCTCGAAGCCTTCGCCCCGCGTCGGGGTCTGGGCGGACGACGGCGGCGGCGGCTCCCAACCCGCACTGCGAGGAGGCGGCAGCGGAGGCCCACCGAAGAATGGCGCCAAGGGCGGGAAGGGCGGCAAGGGCCGTGGAGGAGCCTCCCGCGGCGGCGGTGGTGGTGCAGCCTCCCGTGGCGGCGGTGGGGGCGCGGGTGGCCGTGGCGGAGGCGCCTTCCCGAAGGCCCCCTGGTCGGCCCCCCCCGAGAGCGAGCTCGAAGCGCTCCTCGCCTGCGGGGACCCCGCCATCGCGGCCAGGCTGCAGGAGGCAGTCCGTGACGCGCGGGGCTGCGTCGCGCCCGCGGTCGCCCCAGCTCCGAAGCCGCTCGAGCAGAGGCTGCAGTCGGCCACGGCGAAGCGGATCCACCTCCAGCGCCAGCTCGACGAGGCGGCGGACGCGCTCGTGGCGGCGGAGGACCACCTCGCTCTGTGCCGAGGCTGGCGCGACGAGGCGGCGGTCAACCTCGCAGAGGCCAAAGAGGAGGAGAACGCCCTCCTCCGCCAGCGAGCCCAAGCGGCTGGTGTCGTGGGCGCCCAGCCCGATGGAGCGAGGCAGCTCACCTTCAACTTCGACGCGTAGTCATTCGAGAACTTCGCGGAGCTGGAGGAGGAGGCGCAGGCCACCCTCAGGCGCCTCTGTGACGAGGGGCTTCAGATCACGCAGGGGGCGCAGGCTACGTTCGAGCGCAACTGCCAGGAGCACCAGCAGCGCATCAAGCGCCAGATCGAGGAGGAGGCGGCCAAGAAGCGCAAGCGCACCGTGGAGGGGCCTGCAGCAGCCGTGGCCGCTGGCACCCCCGTGCGGGGCGCGGCCGCCCCGCCGCAGCCAGCAGGACAGGCGGCCGCCCCTGCTGCTGCCGCCGCCCCAGCAGCAGGCGCTGCGCCTGGCGCAGGGCCCCCCCCAGCGGCCGCCGTGGAGAGCCGAGCGGCAGACGAGGCGGCCCGACAGCGCGCTGCCGACCAAAAGGCTGCTGCGGCGGCCCCTCCACCTGCTGCTGGCGCTGCTGCTGGCAGCGGCCAGGCCCGCGGGTAGCACCCTGCTGCCAGGCGGCGGCCCCGTAAGCGCGGCGCCGCCCGTCCCAGACGGGGCTGAGGAGGCAGAGGCGGCGGCGCCCAGCCGCCCCGCGGCGAAGGCGGCGCCGAGCGGCGGCATGCACGCCTACCTGGCGGCCAACGTCGAGGCCGACGCTGGGGAAGGGCTTCCCTTCACTGGGCCGCTGCTGCGCCAGGACCGACGCTCCGACGATGCGCGCCATGGTTCCAAGTTCAAGGCGCTCAGTAGCAGGACAGAGCCAAGCGCTGCGGCGGACTTGGATGGGCCCGACCGAAGGACTGGCAGTCCTCAGCCCAGCCAGGGGCCCATGCGGAATAGTGGGTACCCAATTCAAGTTGGCGAGGCTAAGGGCGAGGGCGTGAGACCCCCTGAGGTTCGGGGCCCCAAGGCGGCGGGCAGCCGCCCGCCTGGCGGCCGCGCGGGCGCCGCGGCAGCCGCGAAGCCTGCAGCCCAGCCCCAGCCAGGGCGACCGCAGGACAAGCCCCTCCAGCTGGCCAAGCTGCAGCGCACGGAGGCTGTCAGGAAGCTTAGCCCCCTCACCAAGTGCTGGCGCTGCCTCGGGAGGATCGCCAGGCAGCTCAGCGCGGCTGCTGCCGTCAGCTCACCCCCTGAGGGGCACGGGGGCTACATGAAGCACCTGGTGCAGGTGGCCAAGAGCTTGGGGCCCAAGCTCGAGCAGGCGGGCTGCTCCATGTTTGAAGGCACTAAGCTGGACTCGCTGACTGTGGTGATCCAAGAGCCCTCTGTGCAAGGGCAGGCCTTCCTGCAGATGATCGAGAGCGCGGCGGCGAGACTCTGCAAAGAAGAAGCCAAGGCGGCCAGGCTGCGCTGGATGGACTACGTGGACGTGGCCTCGACGAAAGGGGCGAAGGGAGCCCGCGATGTCATACAGGACCGCGATCAGGTGCTGGACTCGGTGATCGCGCGCTGCCCCGACTGGCTGACGCTCCCCGTTGTAGTCCAGCAAGCCCAGAACCAGGTCCGCATTGAGTGGAAGGCCTTCTGGAAAGGAGCCGATAGGGAGCACAGGACCAGACCAGCCGATTGGATCTGCTCCATGGCGTTGCCCCCGTTCACGGTGGGCGACAGCCTCGAGGCGGCGAAGTCGCTCCCGAAGCAGACCGCTCTGGGCTGGGATGCGTTCCACCCGCGGCTGGTCCTCTCCCAGGGCAGGCCCTTCGCCGATATGATGGCAGAGGTGCTCACGGCTTGGGTGTTGCAGCCGCAGCCCACGGCCCTCTTCACCACGGTGTTCCTCTTCCTGGGGAAGCCAGACGGAGGCCGCCGCCCGATCGGCCTCATGGGCAAGTGGTTGCGCATCTGGCGCAGGGTGCGCCGCCGCTACGGTGTCAAGTGGGAGAAGGACCACCAGCCCACTTTGGTCTGGGGCAAGGATGCGAACAGCTGTGACATGGCGGTCTACCCACACAACCTGGGGCTCGCGCTCGCCCGCCAGCTTGGCTTTGGGGCAGCCTCAGTCTATCTCGACGGCAAGTTCTACGCGCGGACCGGCCACGACCGTTTCAAGCGAACTGCCGAGTTGGTGAGCTTGATGGGCCACCGCTACGAGGAGCTCTTCTGCCAGGACCTCTTCGTCGGCGCCCAGTGCCAGGTGCAGAGGCCGCGCTGTGTCCCTGGCGGGGAGCGCCGCTCGCGCGGCTGGGACGCGGGCGCACTCGTGGTGCCCGCGGGCACCCTCGTCTTCACGGACGGCTCCTGCGTCAACAACGACCTGATGATCAGGAGCGCGGTCTGGTCGGTGGCGGTTCTCACGACCGTTGGCGAGTGGGTGGCGCAGGCGAGGGGTGCGGCGCCGTCTGCCCTGAAGCTCATCCCCTCCCGTTCGCGGGCGGCCATCGAGCGGGGCGACCTCATGGAGGTGGAGCTCTTCGGCAACCGCCTCTTGGGCCAGCTCGCGAAGGCGGGCGCGGCGATGCACGCCATCGCCGACGAGGAGGCCCGCCTGCTCCAGGGCTGCCAGGCCCGCACCCGCTTCGCGGCGCGCTTCGCCGCCGATTTCGAGGTCCAGGACACGGAGTCGGGCTTGCGGGACCTCACCCCCTGCATTGCGGAGGAGCTCGACGGCGAGGCCGACCCCCTGTTCGCCGCCGCGGCGGAGCCCGCCCCTGGGACAGGTGGATTCAGCCCACCGAAGTCGCAGTCCCAGGGGCGCGGCCAGTTAGGGAAGAAACACGACGTGGAGGTGCGCGCGGCTGGCATCGCGGGGCTGGACGCGCTGTTGGCTGCTCCTGACGGCGCGGCGCTGGTGCGCGGCAGCGGCATCTCGGAACCCATCGAGCTCCCCGAGGGCCGCGAGGCAGCCGCCGCTGTCGGGCACGCCGCTGGCGGAGGCCCTGGGCAGCCGCCGCGGCCTGCAGACAGCAGCCTGCCGCCCCCAGCTGCCCCCTTGGCGCGCCGCCCGCGGCAGGTTCGCCAGGCGCCACGCGACGCGGAGCACGTCGCGCTGTATGGCGATGGCAACGTGAAGGAGATCGACGCGGAGCTTTGCGGTGGCTACGCCGAGGCGCAGGCCTCGGCGGCTGATGGCGGCCCCCTCCTCGCCACGGCGGCGGCCCTGGCAGCGGTGGCGGCTGCCGGCGCCTCCAGCTCGCGCCCTTCGCCCATGGTGCGCCGCCCCGCCTCGGCCGCGTCGCCCGCGGATGCCCTGCGACGCGTCGCCCAGCGCAGGGCGCAGGTGCAGCCGAGGCGCCGCGAGGCCTCAGCCCCCGCGCCCTGCCCGCGCCTGGCGGCGGCGGAGGCGGCGAGCAGCGGGCCAGCCACTGCGGAGGCGGCTGATGCAGCCCGTCCAGCGGGATGGAGGGTCAACGGCCACCTCCTCATGGAGTCGAGAGTCGAAGGTGACGACTCCGAGCCCTTCTTGGTCTGCGCGGCTTGCTGGATGAACTGCCGCCCCCCCAGGTACGCGCGCCGCGGCCTGGGCAAGCAGTGCGGGGCCAACGCGGCGGCTGGGCAGCCCAAGTGCAAGAAGGGATCCAGAGCCCAGGCGCGGTCGGACTTCGCTCGCGGCATCCTGCCAGCGTCGAAGGAGCGGATCGCGCCGCTGGCCTCTCCAACGGAGTGCACGCGCCGGCGCTGGGCGGCGGCACTCCAGGCCAGGCAGGGCCACGGCGCGGAGGGGCAGGCGCTCGTGGCAACGCCCGTGCCAGCGCAGCGGCTGCCAGCAGCCGCCCAGCCCCCACCGCCTGCGGCTGGCGCTGGGAGCCAGGCGGCTGCGCCGCCGAGCGCCGCGGCTACGCGGCGGCTGGCCGCGGCGGCCCCGCGGGAGGAGGCCGCCGAGCCGCGGCGGTCCCGCCCAGGGCTCGAGGGTGTGCGTGGAGCCCACGGCTTCGCGGACGCAGCGGCGGCCCGCGAGCGCGGGCGAGCCGCGACGGGAGCGGCCGCCCGCGCAGGCCGCGCGGGGACGCGCGCCGCGGGCTGAGGCGGCCTCGGCAGGCGGCTGTAAGCGCCCGCGCGGCCCTCCGCCTCTCCGCCTTGAATTTATGCAAGAATCCGCCGAGCCCGCTCGGCAGTATCACGAGGCATCCGAGGGCTATGTATTTATTGGGAGCATTTGGGGGTCGATCTGGGGCCATCTTGAGCGATGTTGGTGGCGTCTTCGCTCCTCTGAAGGCCATCTTGGGCGATCTTGGACCTATATTGTCGCTGCCCTGCCGATTATCTGGACGCCGTCTACTCGTTGACAACCCACTGCAGGAGTATGCGCCAACGGTTCATAGCAAGCTATATTCAGCACATACGATTGTGAGTAGATCATGTGATTTACAGAGGTTTGATTACCATTGCTACCTACTTGTGTTTCTCTCTCTCTCTCTCTCTCTCCCTCTCTGTCTCTCTCTCTCTCTCTCTCTCCTTCTCTTTCTCCCTCTATTTCTTTCTCTCTCTTTCTCTCCTGCTGCATGCTTTCTCTGTCTGAAGAGCTACGCAACCCCCGCGGGCCCCAGGAAGAGCCGTCTTGGGAGCATGTTTGGGCCACCTCGGGTGTGTCTTGGGTCATACGAGAGCATATGAAGGGGCATCTTGGGCTTCTGGTGGCCACCTCAGGGTTACCTCTTGAAACAGTGGGGCTGCATTGGAACCGCCAGGGGCAATGTTGGGGATTATTGGGAGCTTGGGAGAATATTCTGGCCGACTTGGGGCCATCGTGAACGATGTTGGCGGCGTCATGCGGCCTCTAGAGGCCGCCTTGGGACCACGAGCGAGTTTGGACCTATAGTTGGGCATCTGGGGCCGCATTGAAGCTACCTTGGGAGATTTCAGGAGGAACACTGTCAACTGAAACCATTGAAGAAGTCGGGGCTGTTCCACGATACGGTGGGCTCTTCTGGGGCCTCTTAGACCGTCTCGGGGCCGCCTTGAGGTAGACTCATGCCGTCTCGGGCTCTTACGGCCCTCTTGAGGCGCTCTTGGAAGACTTAGCGCGCACCATCCCGGGTGGCTTGTTTTACGCCGAGGGCCCCCGTAGTAGACAGCTGAAAATAAGTAAGACTGGAGAGACGAGAAGCAGGGAACATGAGGCAGGACGGGACAACGAAAGACGACAAGGAACGCCCAGCGAGACAGCAGTCCAGCAGGGAGTCTCACGACGTGGCGACCCCCCTGGATCCACAGTGAGTGAGAAGTATCATCCCAGGCATCCGATGTCCTGGGTTTCTCAATACGGGGTCCCCCAGAAGTCCGAAAGAGCGCGTTCTGTGGGCGCTTGGAGGGGGAAGGAATTTGGAACCGGACCACCCCCCCTGAATTGAGGGGGGTGGGGTTCGAACACCCCCCCTCTTTTGTAACGGAGGGGGGGTAGGGGTTCAAACCCCCCCCCCCGTGTTTCTCCTCTCTCCCTCTCCTCGTGCCAGCGCTGGCGTCGGTGGCAACCGGCGGCGGCGGCGGGGAGCGTCGATGAAGACGACGACTTCCTTTTGTTGGCCGGCGCCGGCGCTTGCGGCGATTGGCGGCGGCGGCGGGGAGCGTCGACAAAGCCGACGGCGACAACGATGACGACGACGACGACGACGACGCTCCGCCACCGTGCCTGGTTTTTGGGTCAGAGTCCTCATGGATGCCTCTTTGGGTCTCGTCAGAGGGCTCTCCGGAGCCTCTGAAGGGCATTTGTGGAGCCTCCTGGGCGCCTCTTGGACGTCTCTTGCGGCCTCTCTGAGATGTTGATGGTGGTGGTGAGCTGTGGTGGTGTGGTGGGTTGTGGGTGGTAGTGGTGATGGTTTTGGTGGTTGTTGTGCTGGTGGTGTGATGGTTTGTGGTAGTGGTGGTGGTGGTGGTGGTGGTGGTAGTGGTGGGTTGTGGTTGTGGTGGTGGCGGTGGTGGTGGTGATGGTGGTGGTAGTGGTGTGGTGGTTTGCGGTGGTGATGGTAGTCGTGGTGGTTGTGGGGGGTTGTGGTGGTGGTGGCCGTGGTGTGGTGGTTTGTGGTGATGGTGGTGATTGTGTTGGTGGGGGGTTCTGCTGGTTGTAGTGGTGGTGGTGGTGGCTGTGGTGGTGGTGTGGTGGTTTGTGGTGGTGGTGGTGGGTTGTAGTGGTGGTGGTCGTGGTGGTGGTGATGGTGGTGGTAGTGGTGTGGTGGTTTGTGGTGGTGGTGGTGGTCGTGGTGGTTGTGGTGGGTTGTGGTGGTGGTGGTGGCGGTGGTGTGGTGGCTTTTGGTGGTGGTGGTAGGTTGTTCTGGTAGTGAGGTGGTGGTTGTAGCGTTGGCGGTAGTGTGATAAAGTGTGGTGGTGGTGGTGGTCGTGGTGGTGGGTTGTTGTGGGTGTGGTGGTGGTGGTGGTGGGTTGTGGTGGTGGTGGTGGTGATGGTGGCTGTGGTGGTGGTGGTTGCGTGGTGGGTTATGGTGGTGGTGATGGTGAGTTGTGGTGGTGGTGGCTGGTGATTTGTGGTGGTGGTGGTGGGTTGTGATGGTGGTGGTGGTGAGTGTGCTGCTGGTGGTGGTGTTGGTGGTGGTGGCTGGTGGTGATGGCGGTGGTGGTGTGGTTTGTGGTGGTGGTGGGTTGTGGTGGTGGTGGTGGTGACGGTGGTGGTGGTGGTAGTGGTGAGGTGGTTTGTGGTGGTCGTGGTGGTCGTGGTGGTTGTGGTGGGCTGTGGCGGTGGTGGTGGCGTTTTTGGTGGTGTGGTGGTTGTGCTGTGGTTTGTGGTGGTGGTGGTTGTGGTGGTGGTGGGTTGTGCTGGTTGATGGTGGTGGTGGCGGTGGTGGTGGTGGTGTGGTGGTTTGTGGTGATGATGGTGGTCTTGGTGAGGCCTTCGGGTCTTCCCGCGACCGTGTTTTGGCCTTGGGTCAGGTAGTGCTGGTGTTGATGATGGTTGTGGTGGTGGTGGTGGTGGTGGCATGGTGGTTTGTGGTGGTGGTGGTTGTTGTGGTGATGTATATGGCGATTTGTGTTTTACCTCTGCGGCCTTTTGGCCCTCTCTGGTCAACGTCGCCGCGTTCCCGCAGTCGGTGCTACTGGCCGCCGCCAGCGCCGGCGCCGGCGCTGGGGCCAAAAGGGGGTTTTGCACCTCCCCCCCCCTTGGGCCCTCTCTGGTCATCGTCGCTGCGTCTGCCGTCGGCGCTGCTGGCCGCCGCCAGCGCCGGCGCCAAGGAGGGGAGGGGGGGGGGGTTTGAACCCCCCCCCTGGGACGGGGGGAGTTTTGGAAGGGGGGTCAGGGGTGAGGGGAATCCCCCACCCTCCGGTTCGAAACGCGCCGCCGAATGCTCCCAGGGCAAGCGCCCGTGAAACGCGCTCTCTCAGAAGTCCCGACCTTTTCTTACGCTTTTCAGCCCGAGTTGTCTTTAATTGCCTCGGGGCCCAGCGAGGGCCCCCGAAGGACGAAAACGTCGAAAAACCTTTCCACGACGAAAGTGTCCGACCCGCGATTGCCATTATTTTGAAGCCTAGATCGAAATTGTCGGCATTGTGTCTTCACGGAAATACGAGAATTTACGCTAGACGTGCCCCAACCCCATCTGCACGTGAGGCGACTATTGATGTGAACGCTTCATACACAAGTACACATTGCGAGATATGGAACATTCGGATGGGCGATGAAATGTCGGGCCCCACGTCGCACACCTGCGCAACATAGAACGGGGAAGAAAAGTGGGAGGAGGAGGAGGAGGAGGAGGAGGAGGAGGAGCAAGAGGAGGAAAAGGGGGAGGAGGGCAAGGAGGGTTGCGAGGGAAAAGAAACACACGCTTGCGAGAGTAACGGCGACATGCGGTACATCTGCTCGGTTCGCCCGCGGTGCCGTTGCGGGGGGCGGGCGCTTGAGGACGAGGAAGGGAAGGGCCACTGAGGGCAACGCCATGCGCTACGTGACGTTCCAGCGCCCTGCGTTCTGTGTTGCAACAGCGCCGCGCGGCCCTTGACGGCACAGCGCCACGCGCCACATGGGCGCGCGCCCTTTCATATTCGAGCCGTATTTGCCCGTCGCAAGCATCGCCGACGGCGTCGCTAAAGTAGTAGCCAGTGCGCGTTTTCGCCTTTCACCGCTTGCCGTTCTCTTCCCTTCAATCGCGCAGGAATTTGGTAAAGCCGAGCGCGCGCGCCATCTCCACTGACTGTTTCAAGCATGTTCCGTGCGGGCAGCAAACCTTGGATCTGGAGGCGCGTGGCCAGGTCCGCCAGCTGCGCCCAGGACGGGTCTTGGCCTGATTCGCGCGGCCCCCCATTCAGGTGGATTTCCCAGGAGCTCACGAAAGTGGTGACAGTTGCGCATTGTGGAACTACGAGGTCCAGGCTGGACCCGCGTGGCCTGGACCACCCAGGAAAGTAAGATACTTGCGGGAACCGCGAGGTCCCGGCTAGATCTGCGTCGCCCCCTTTTACGCTGGACCCCCGCGGAGCCCATGAAAGTGGCGACAGCTGCTGCTTCGCAGCCGCCCCAGAAGCCGCCCTTTTCCCGCTGGACCTCCCAGGAGCCCACGAACCTGGCGACAGCTGCCACTTCGCAGCCGCCCAGGAAACCGCGAGGTCTTGGCTGGACCAGCGTGTCTTTATTACGCTGGAGTTACCACGGGCCCACGAAAGCCGCGGCAGTTGCGCACTTCGCTGCTACCCCGGGAGCTGCGAGGACCTGGCTGAATCCACGTGGCCCCGCATTCCGCTGAATTTCCAAGGGGCCTACGAAAATGACGACAGTTGCGCATGACGCAACCAGTCAAGAAACTGCCAGGTCCTGGCTGGATTCGCGTGGCCCCTTTTTCCGTGAATCTTCCCAGGACCCCACCAGAGTGGCGGCAGTTGCGCATTCCACATCTATTAGGGAACTGCGAGTTCCCGGCTGGATTTGCGTGGCCCGTCCCCGCTGGAACTCACAGGAGCCCCCGAAAGTGGCGGCAGTTGCGCACTTCGCAGCCACCCAGGGAGCCACGAGGTCCCGGCTGGATACGCGTGTCCCCCTACTCGGTTGGACCCC